TGCCCCATCGAGAAATATATCCAAGTCGAGAAAGATCTCAAATACGATATCCTCGAGTAAAGAAAGTGATGAGAAAAGCAATGCACACGCTACAGTTAACAACGATAAGAATTCAGACCCGAAAAATGTACAAGATGAGAAATCAGGAAACCGTAAAGTTTCAGAAGCGTCGCTTACAATTCCTTTCGATGAGTCGATAGATGACTTAGCCGCGGACCAAGATAAGAAACCAAAGATTAATACTACTAAGGCAGTGTGGGCTGTGGGTGCCGTACTTCTAGCTACGATAGTTATTTGTATAATAGCGATTTTTGGAAAGCAAAGATGTCGTAAAACACCAAAAAATAGACGATATGTATAACAGTATCCTTCAGCATTAAACAAAAATATATTTATTCTTGCATTTAGTTCGTACGGTAGTTTTTATTCAAATAAGTTATCGACATAAAGCCCTTCATCTAGAAGGACGTTTAATGATTTACAATATTGAACATTGTACATTCCTTACTGTTGCTACAAGACAATTTGAAGTTATTTCCACACATCGAACTTTTTGTGAGCGATATTATAATTCGTATTCTGGGCAGTATACACCAGAGAGAATATCGACAACGAGAATTAGAACCTAAGAACAGAAGAGCCGATAAGTATTAACCGCACAAATACTACTATATTGTTTATGATTTTTTTTCTCAATCAGAAATTATGATAACATGTATATGCTACATATTACGCACACAACTCCCAACAGTTCCTTTATAAATATGCCAAACTATAAAAAATGATTTTCAAAAGTGCACTAAAAAAAATGTATTCCCCATATTTTCTGTAGAACCTTCAAAAAAATATATATTTCAATACGTTTTTGTAACATTATATTTGTAGTATACACTCGAATTTACATAAGGCTTGTACATAATCACCTATATAGTTGTAAAGTTGAGTAACGAGTACACGAACGAGTGTTGTCATCGTAACATCTAACGTATCGCAAACCAGTAGAATGTGTCACATATTTTTCTACCATCGCATCGCTGTGTACAATTCTTGCATACGTGTGCATCGTTTATATACAATGAATTGTATGGAAGATTTATATTTTTATAAAAAGTATTTATTTTGTATCTAACAAGATAAGCTAATAAAATATTGTTCTGGTACAAAGTTGATTTGCAACCTTGTAAACAAAAATCAAATCCTCAGAAGGATTGAATCGTATGCTACGCAATAAATAAAGAAATAGAAGAAAGATATCTAGGCATCGATGTCTGAATTGAGAACCACTGACACTATTTCTGTAAATTTCAATTTTTTTGTAACGGAAAGGAAAATTCTAATATGAATGGAAAGTACTTACAGTTTTTGTGTTTTAAAAAAAGTCGGTGCCAAAAATACGAAGTAAAGTTCTAGAAAATGAAGAGCGGGTTGCGCAACAAATCGTGCGCACGAAGGTGCTCGTTACGATTAATTTTGAATCTCATTACTGTCTACGTTTACATTTAAATCAAGACTCGACTAATTCGAACGATTTTTGTCTATGCAATTAATTTGTTCACCTTAAACTCAACAGTGTCTAAGTATTCCTATTTCGTCATCGCACAAATCTACTTCTTGAACATGCTTATTATTATACGTAAAATTTTCTTCGATGAACGTCTTGAATAAGGTTGCTGCTTGTATTAGGGTACTTACTATTGCTCTCATGTTCAGTCATGCTTCAAGCTTAAGGTACAGGTCACGCGAACAAGTAACAACCTTTCCGTCCACGGATATCAAAGCGTAGAAAATCAATATAAGGCAAAGTCGGTTTGCAATCGCGGCACGATCTTTCATTCTCCTTGAGAAATCGTATCGTGCCACGAGAATCATTCCTTGTTTACTGTTATCGTCGAATGATTACTCATACGCGTGTAACACCATTGGCAGTCGGTCCGACAAAGGGGATTTGTAAACAAATTTGAACCGAAAGTGTGAAAGAGAGAAAAGCGTGGATCAGTTGTTCGATCATCGTCGGCTGGAGAGGGTGCACGGACATGCGCAGCGTAACTTTAAAACGTTAAGGGATGGCCAGGCCACCAACAGTTCCTTATCGTCGCGCCCTTCGCGTGGATTCGAACGACGACGAGTTGGGGCGTTAGTCCTTAAAATTGCACGCACGCGAAGAGAAGCTAAGGAGCGAGGAACGGAAACATCCCCTTTCGTCGTGAACGACCAGTAGGATTCGGGAGCATGCGCGTCGCCAGCTAGACAGGGGTTGTTGCAGTCAGGGAGGGGCTCTCTTCGGCAGAGTGACTCAGAATATGCATTCCTGAAAGTTCGTCTTCGTGATTTTTTAAAAAGTGTCATGCGTATAGTTCGCAAACGTACGGTGTTACTTTAACGATACTACGCGCGATGTCATAATTCGCAGTGGTGTTGAGTGTTACGTGGATCGACTGTCAGCTGTCCCTTCACCATGAACGTGAGTACTTCGACCGTCTCTAATATCGACTCGTTTTCTAACACCTAGTGCGTGGGCGTTCCTCTATTTCATCGCGTTAACATGATCAGCGACAGGAATGCGGTGTCGCTGGCTCGTAGAACTAATAACCATCGAGATATTTTCGATTTTTCCTCTTTCTTAACGCATTTCCTAAGCCATAGTTGAACCTAATACGTCATTGACCTCTGTAATACGCAAAATCGATGCGAAGGTTACGTCTAATCGAGAACCTTCGCATTTCGTATCGTGTTCACTGCAAACATTCACGTTCGAAGAAATCTTAGTTTATTACGGTATATCGTATCGTTTGCTGGAACGATAACGTTTTGCCAGAACGATTCCCCCAATTAATAGATGTTTGTATCGATGCGTAGAGATGGCGATAACGATTAATTTCCAAAGCCCATACAGCAGATGATAATCGTATCGTGGATGATTCATCTTGCTCTTATTTAGACGCGAACTCTTATTGGGATCCAGTGACCTTGTTCCTCGAAGCACTCGAGGTTTTGTGTGTGTCTGCAAATTAACTCGAGAATCCGCTCCCAGCTGCATATACATGTATTATCGTTGCAAAGCTAATTGCAGTCAGACGCCTATATTCGTTCGCTGAGGTTTATATGGATATACCCACAGAAAAAGAAAGAATGGAACAAAGCCATGTGGGCCGTAGAAAGAAAAACGCGTTTCGGCATTGCAACAGAGAAACCCACATACCCAACAAACTCTTATGGCGCACGTTGCTCGGCTAATAAACCCTTCGAGACACGATCAAGTATACGTAGAATACGTAGATTTGGGGACATTTAAAAAACTTCTAAGATATAAATAATGATTTTTCACTTCATCCAGTCTTTATCACAAATTTCTTGGAATGAAATATATAACGTTAAACCATGTATCTTTTTTAAGCTTCATGTTTAGTATCGTGCTATTTTCTTCTATAAATAATAACGATATATACGTACATCCTTTCGCTGGGAATTCTGTTCTCTAACGTATTTTTAAATTTGTAATTAGGACCGAAAGAGCTGATGTCTTAATGAAAGTAATAAAGTTGCAAATGAGTCGTGACTTCATAATTAAACCCTCCAATTATATCTTACGTGCATCGTATACTCAACTTCAATGTCACGTTTGACGTACGACAATCCTCCTTTGATCGTTATTCAAATCTCATCTCTTTTCTTCTCTATCTTAAACGCATCAATTTCTTTCGGAGACACTTCGCATGCAGAAGTACGAAAATATCACTGCGTTTTACAACGCATTGCACACGAAACAGCTTGAGAATGCGAATGTCGCGTTGCAAAATAAACTCCGAGTCGAAAATAATTGAAAGCGCGTATCGAAAAGAAGTTATTTTTTCAAAACACTGCCGGATGAGGCATATCAGTTTTCTATGCAGCACGCAACATCGGTTTAAATATCAAGGGTGAAGTTGCATCACACGAACCCTCTAGCGCCTCGAATAGCGCTGAACTTTGAGATAGGATATTTTATAATACGAAAATCCAGATGTATCACAATGCAGTAAAAAAAAAAAATATTCAGTAGTACCCCCTATTTCCTAACGTTACTTGGCAATGCTCTGACCAACGGAATTAATAACTCGATATTTTTCAGGCCTTGGCGACAGATATTGTCTGCGGCAACGGAGAACGCATTGGTGAGTTCAGTTGCGCATACATTTCCGAGATTTATACTTCTCCCGACCTATTTATTAAAGTGCAGATCAATCTCCGAACGACGTAGCTTGGATCCATCTTTTATTGAATATATTCTTTCTCTCGTACCACTCTGTATTTAGAATACCGTCTTCCTGACAATTTATATTTAATATACACTGCGTCTCTTGTATCTAATTTTGCGTTGTTAACTCGAGCCACGTTGCTGCGAATATTTTTGTCGTTCAACGACAGACTCGTGACTTTACCAATTCGTTATTATGCCTTTATAAGTATTCAAGGTAACTGCATTGTGGTTCTCAGGGGTATCCTTTGTCCGAAGTCATTTACAGAACACTGTACAAAGAAAACCCTGTAATGCGATTGTGGCAAACGCGATTATTTCGGCCCTCCTACTTCTGTCTGCCGGTTCGAACGGCTCCCTTTAAACTAAATCAATGTTACGTCGATCGTCCATTGTACTTTGCAACACGAGAACACTTTATAGCGTCGTCGATAGCTGCGTTTGTTAAATGCTTTCCGATTATAATGTCTAATACGTACAATTCTTCGTTACTCGTACCGTACGCATATCGATTCGACGAGTTTTTTTTTTATATTTAGACCAATCTGATCCCGCATCCATGATCTACACTCGTTGATGCGTTATATCCCCTCCCCCTTTCTCTCTTCGATCCGTTCCACAAGAAGCAACGCGCGACTTCTGAATTTAAAGGCTATAGTTAAAATTTCTATACAAGTCTTCATATACGGCGTCGTAAAATTTATGTATCTACGAGGATAACGAGCACCGAACTGTACAGTCTTATTTCATTTATTTGTTTATTAAATCGTGAAGTTCAGCGGCTTACAAGTCACTTTGACCCGTATGGTCCATCTAGCGTCGATTCGATCGCAACTCGTCCATTACGACTCGTACCCCTCTCTGCGAGCCTCGATCGAAAAAAAAACTGATCGATTAGGGTTCGAAATTGGCCCCTGTTTGTAAGAGCTTTGATATCAAACACGGCGTATGCATTCAATGAGCCGCCAGTGGAGCTGCTCTCTATTCTGGCCGAGGCAGAGCGGGTATTTATTAATAGAGATTAAACTCCGCGTCGTGTCGTGCCGTGTGCAAACGCTCTCCCGCGCAGGACGCGCGCTGTTAGGGCAGTCTGACTCAGACTGCGGTCCAGAAACTGATTCCGCCAAAATAAACGTGGAAAAATCGCGCGGCTATCGGTCAATGTGCCTATTATCGTTGAACGGATAAAGCAATCTGTCCAGGCTAAGTTCGAGGAGCAATTGTGTCAACGTGTCAACCGTCGCGTTGCGTCGGTCACGTCGAAGGGAAAATTACCGCGTGATCGTGTCCAGTGATCCACCAGTGAACGAACCAATTCCAGAGTTAACGAGTTCGCGAACATCCGGTGCACCGATGACATTTTTGTGCCGTGTTTGTGTACGTTCACGTGGAAAGGTTCTCCCTTTGTGAGTTACTATACAGGTCCGCCCCGTTTTCGATCGATGAATCGCCATCGAGCCTGGTGTATCGGCTTACGGAGGAATTGTTTCGAGACTTTTTGAATCCCACTCAATGTTCGATCGTATGTAGCTCTTACGAGAGAATTAATTCCGTTTCAACGCGTCGTTACGTCCATATCCTTTATTGCAAAGTACGACGGGTTCGTTAAGCGCGCACTTACTGCAATGAGCCACGTTTACCTGTGCATTGTTTACCATATCGCCGGCGAGATAAATCGTTCGACCTTATCGACATTCGGTAGACTATCAATGGATAAACATGTTGTTGCATGCGTAGTTCGCTTTCTCCGACTTGCAGTGACGTATTCGTAGGCAGAAGAACCCTCGTAATACTTCGAAAACTCGTTTAGGCCATTTCGTAATCATCGATTTTAATTTATAATGCACTTTGAATAATAAAGTATTTGCGATTTTGTTATGTAATAGATAGAATCTATTATATATTATTAAATACTATCCATAAATAGTATGATTCAATGTTGGAACAATTTTCATCTTCTCCCCGTATCTGAACGCGTTAATCGGCCCGACGAACCCTCGTTATCTTAACGTTCGATTAACTGGAAACAATTGCTTCGCCACTTGTTGCAATTTAGGCGGTTGAGCGCGTTTGCTGATGTAACGGCCACTATTACTATTGTCACGTAGAATATTAGACCGACGCCAAAAATATACCCTGCTATTGTCTCTCTTCCTCTCAAATCTTCCGTATCGTTGATAAACCAGCATTTCCCAGCCGACTGATTACGATTAGCGTGAATCGTTTTCGTATATTCGACTTACTGATACTGCACTCCTCGTCGTTATCAGTATACGGAATAGCGACTTCCAGTCCGATAGTGATTGAGACTCTTGACGTTTAGGTGTTTAACCACTTTAACTGCTGGATAATTATTTAAAAAATTAGACGTAATACTCAAACTGCGAGATAAATATATCGATATAGTCGTGAACTATAAAACTCTTCATTCCAGTCATTATCATATCAATGTACAAGCGTGCTCATTTGTACAATCAAATCAAAGTTATTTATAATTTCTCGAAAGTTTGATCTCTGCAATCATGATAATTTCTTTTAATGTTCGATCCTACGTTTTCACATCTTATCGTTGAGGTTATGTCTCAAAGACGCCTCACATAACCATACAATCCTAAAAATCGATGAGCAATTCGTAACACGTGTGTTCGAGTCTACAGCAGTTAAACGGTTAAAGACTTCCATGCTTGAGGGGTCTGCAGATAAACGTCGTTTCTCCGACCAGTAAAAACTGAAACGTGGGTTCGATCACAATGGTACGTCTTCATTGTAGGGGGGCGTAGATCGTAAGGCAAAGTACTGTGTGTTGTAAACAAAGGGATCTTTGAAAGGTGTCATCGGCTGGAATACAGAGGAGTAATCGACGCTGTTTCACGCGTGTTTCGTTCGTCAAAGTGCAAACGTCTTTCATGTGCGAGAGCATCACGAAAGACGAGAGTGACGGACGCGGGAATTTCTCTCGTCCGTGATGTAACTTTGAAGTGGTAAATGTACACCAGAAGCTGACTGAAATAATGAAAAGTGAACACTTTTAAACGATGGACGAGCTAGATTTAGCGTGTTTGACTTTGGACGTTTGTTAAAACTTTGTGTGACCTTTTTTTGTTCGATTTTTCGCCTGTTAGTTTCGAACCGTGAAACATACGTTTTTAGAGATTATTCGTCGAACGTTTTTTATAGTTGTCCACCGTGCAAGCGTTACTACTATGTTGTAACGTAATAGGATAACAAAACGCTGAACATTGACAAATGATGATAGTGCTTTTGTTGTGCGTCATCATGAAAATAGCCGAGTTCTCTGTGGGCCGTACGAGCCCACCATTGCAAGCCCCTGCACGACCGCCTCATCTTTACTGCGGCAAACGCAAGAGACAGGAACGAAAATATTACAGAAGGCCCAATGAGAAGTGCAATTGCTTTCTATACAATCGTAAGGGTACACAATGAATATGCTTTATGCCTGTGACGAATATCTAACACCGTATTGTGCTCCAGAAACTAATCTCGATCTTTGTCGTGCAGTAGAAAATAGTCATTTGTCAGATACGTACAGTTTGGGGAGAAAGAATCTGTTGGTGCTATTTTACGTACCTTTACTTGATTCAAAAACGAGTTCTAATAAGGTTATAGTTTTAGTTCAATTTTTTTCGACGTGTATTTATTCTTCTCCTTTTTCTGTACTCGTTAACCTTGCTTGTCTCTAATCACATTGATAGTCAGCTTTAGGAGAGTTTGCGTATTATTCCGCTCAAGGATGTGCTTATTACCAATTACTAATAGACGTTGAAGGGGAGATACGGGAAGCCAAAGGTAGTTACATAGTAGTTTCAAGCGGAAACGTTGGTAAAGTTTTCAGGCTCGTTTATAAATAAAATAGGTTTCTTAATTAAAGGCGATTAGAATTAGACAACTTCTGGGAAGTAAACAAAATGAAAATTGCTCAATATAAAAAAATATTAAAGTTCTATGTAATAAATTCGTCTTATCTATACATATACTTATGATTAGTGAGTTTAGGCGTTGCACAATAAGGCTAACTGGAATTCCCAAATGACTCAAAATTCCCCAACCTAATGCGCTGTCAACGATAAGGCGTATAGACAAGATTTAAAGTCTACTCATCCCTTGCCAGATACGAGAAGCTGATAAGACACGTACGCCACAAGGGTGAGCACGAGAAAAAGGGCCCACCAGACCCTCTGTTTCTCCTGGCCAAATTTTCTTCTTTTAAGACCTAGCTTCTTTAGAATTAAAAACGTTAATTTCGTAACCATTCTTCAGCCAGTTAAAAAATAAATTTGACAAGAGAATGAACAGCTTTCTGAAGAAAAAAAAAACTTTGAACTTCCTAGAACTCTCGACGAAATAAAAACGAACAGAACTGCTGCAACGATCCACTATTTTAGGTAACGACTCCGTGGGAGTGTTTTACACGTGGATACTCGAGAAATATTTACGCGACATCTGCAGAAACGCTGAAATTCTTAGAAACGTGGACAAGCAGTTTACACCGCATACTTTCGCCGCGATTCTTCGTGCATCGTTTATGGAACGAGGCAATCGATCCCCAGCTCCTTGGAATTTAAAAAAAAAAAACAGAAACGAAGAAAGAACTCGCTCTTCGTGGAAACGTCAACTTCTTTCCGAATTGAATAAAACCGTGCACGTTTAACTTGTCCCGTCGGAAAATCGCTGAGCGTAAACGGCGAGCCAACCAAACAAACCGGTTCGTTTGGCACGAAGTATTCGTGGATTATATTTCGCTGCTTCGCGCGTAAAATTTTCGTCGAGTCGCGAAATTTGGCTCTTCAATTCCTTCCACGCTTCCCTTCTTCTACGCTTTGCTAAAATTATCCGATGCCCTCGACACTGCAAACGAAATACCCTGAACAATTTTTCCAACGACGAGAAAAGCTACGATATGCCTAACCAAGAATGAGCGAGATCTTTGTTGATGTTATTCTGTTTACATCATTTGTTTTTCATTTTTCAGGAGTACAACGCGTATTAAAAGAACCCTATGTCAAGGACTAAGTAACGTATTGGTTATCGATCTTAAAAACACAGACGTAAATATAATCTTGAGTATCCTGAAAGAAGAAATCTTCTCTCCAGCGTGTCGTTGTCGTAACCTTAATTCAAGCATGTTGTATCCGATTTCCTTTTGCCCACCCTTTACCACTGGATCGGCAATGCTCATGCGCCGCATGAACAATCGTATTCCATAGGTGCAGTTAAAATGAATTTCTAACCATGAGTGACGGGAGGAGTGTCGCCATATGGTCGCGAGCATGAGTGTTTTCGGTTAAAATTTATCAAATGTAAATATTTTCCGTAGAACAAATCCCAAGCGACCGTGGCGATGCGATGGAAAAGAATTTTTCGAGGTAGGCTTGACAACTCGTGTTCAAAATATGAATATTCATTTATCTATTCAATGACAAGGAGTCATTGTTTATAACAAAGGAATCGAACGCTATCATATAATTAAATCTATATCCGTGCAATAGTTTATCAGCTTATTAAACGTGTAATAAAATAAAATTGTGAGAATGAACCACGTTAAGTACTCGCAATACTCCAAATGGTTTCATCGTGTTGTAAAATGATAAATGAACGAGTGATCCATACTTTTCGCACGTGGTTAAAATCCTGACGAAATTGTGCGTGTTTAAAAAGACGATCCAAGTCTTTTCATTGGATGGTCTTTCGGAGGATGTGTTTGGAGATAATTTTGCGTTGCACGTTTGTTTTTCGATATCGTCGATTGTCCAATCTAAAATTAACATGTTTCGATCGATTAATTAATTATTTATTACGTGACAACTAACCTTAAACACGCCCTCTTAAGAGAGTGTGGTGACGCGCAGCCTTGATCATTCCCGATACGGAACACGGGCGCACTTGCTCAAATACGTCCGCCATAACCTCAGTGTGACGTCATTGGCTGACAATTCTACTGATTCTACTTTATCGTGAACATTCTATGGTGCACGGGAGAGGTGGAGAACACTGACATCCTTATCACTAGATTATTAAACTATGTAAATCGATGATTCCTCTTCTACGGTGCTACTGAAATGTCATTATTGTTATTCGTGCGTTGTCACGACACATTACCACTGTGCGCGCGTTACATCGATAGAATGGTTGTCATGTAGGGTCATACTCCTTGTAACAATGACTCCAACAATATCATTGTAAAATACAGCGTGTCGTTTCACGAGATTCCTTGCAATAAACGCAAGACGTTGTGAAACCTCGATATATATATCAATCCGACATGAAATATGATCGCCTCATAAATATTGTAAATATGCTCCACTTTGATCCAAACACGTAATTCTTGCAAGTAGAATAGGTACCTTCGTATAATACGAAGTTTACAATGTTACAATGCCAAAACTTGCAAACATGTTTGCAAAACTTCGAGAATGCTCTGTGTATGTAAAAGATAACCTGCTCTTTATTTATTTACCTTTTTTATTAAGTAAAAAATTCATCAATTGCTGATCATTGTTATATAATGTGTTTTAGGTGCTGGCAAAGGGGCTGCAGTGATGGAAGATCCACAAACACCAGGATCTGATTGCAATTCTAATCCTGCAACAGATTCTATACAACATAATTTAATTAGTTCTGAATTTGTACAGGACAATGTGGAGTATCAGTGGTTCATTGATTACGGGTAAATTTTCAGTGAATTATGATAAGTGTGGTAGAACCTTGGTGAATGTTATATTGATATTTTATGCATATAAAATTCTAGCTACCGAGATGGAGGATTACATGTTCATCCAAGTGTATTGTCCTCGCTCTCTGCTTCGTATTCTCGGGAAGATTTGGGTTACTATGATGATCTTTCTCGTAACTTGGATGCTAACTTGGCAGAAATTGATATGGAAAGTTTTCAAACAGCAGACATTCATACATTGCTTACAGCATTGCCAGTTATGTGCACAGACCCAGTTCAGCATTCAGAGGTAAATATCACAAGAGTGTTCCTATATTTATCATTAATTTATCATTTATTTTGATAGCAAATATTCACATTTTTATGTGTTAAATAATATCATTGTTAGACACATTACTTTTATCATGGATCATTTACAAGCAAGCATTGACAAATTGGGATGAATCTTGTTTAGAAAGTATCCTACTCCCATTGATACTATTGATACTATTAATTGATTAATTTCTTGTCATTATAGTATAAAAAATTCCCTGTTTCTTCAATGCATTGTGTAAATAGTTTGTTCTAAATATAATCTGTATTCCGTTATCGCGGCAGTTTAACTATCAAAGGGAACGATATGCCAGTATATCTGGATCAGTTATGGAAAAGCTTGACATCGGTTCATCTATCAGCCCTCATACTAGCAGCCAGGTATGACAATGGCTGAAAGTGTTAAATTCCTTTTGCCCCAAGTTGAAAACATTGAGAAAGAATTTATATGGACTTGAGTTTTGCTTAAAATGAAAATAAAATTTGGTTGCAGTTCTTCTGCATGGCCAATGAAGGAAATGAATTTAAGCTGATTTATTTCTGCAATAAACATAAAAGATGTTACAAACATTTAAGCTAATAAGACGAGTTCTGCCAATTAAACAATGCATGGAGATAAGCTCTGCTAGTTCTGCAAAATGCATGATAGATAATTTACAAACAAATAAATTATAATAACGATATATCTTGATTCAAAGGGAGAAGATTCAGCCTGTTCAACGGCGGACACAATTTCCATATGCAAGTCATCGTTGCTCTTTTCTCCTTTGAAAGAGACACCCGTGCTACCACCGGGGGGTAGCTACAGTGTTGACTCTCTGGACTGCGAAGATATGTTGCTTACGTGCCAAGTGAACAATAAAAACAACTATACTATCGCTTTCGAGGGTAGTATCACGATGTACTCGGATGGTTCTCAAGACTTCGAAAATCAAGGTGCATAAGCGAATGATTCTCGGGTATACGGTATAGCAAACAAATATAATATTGTTGGCAATTCTATTTACAGAGAAACAAAAAAATTATGAAGCAGCAGAAACATATTATAATAGAAATACAGACTTGAAAAATGCGTTAAATTTATCGATGGCATGTTCTGATTCTAAAATATATACTACATGGAGCAATCTAAAACATTCTTCTATGAACAAAATTATGACTCGTCACCCTTCAGGCAATAATAACACTATACCAGAATTTTTACAAGGTGTAGGAAACATTATGTCTGGAATAACGAAGAGAAGTCAGAGTTTGCCAGACCTAACTAAAGCTACTCAGTTACAACACCTTAATCTACCTCTTAATTTTTCTGTAAGTCTTGAAATAAATGTTCTATTCTTGCAGTATAATTTATACTAAACTTTTATATTTTTTTAAATAGGTCGATTCGGCTGAATCAAACAATCATGCACAACAGCTACAGAGTTCTGGATCCGTGATGAGTCGATCTATAAATGAAGACAGTTCCGACAGCGGCGAACATAATTCAACGGGAAAGAAACTCCAAAACTTGAGCCTTGTTAAATTATTTATGAAACAAAAGAGTATGAGTGCAGAAGGAATGAGTCTCACTTTAGATCAATCGGATTCTGTTAGTGATAATGGATGGCCTACAAGCAATAGCGCTAGCGATAGTGGTACTAATACGAATACGCAAATACAACGGCAAAATATAAATAATACCTCGAAGTGTCAAGTCCCAGAAAGTGACTTTTCTATTAATTGGGTTAAAGGTCATCACAATAATCAAGAAGTAGTAAATCAGAAAGACAGTTGTAATGACATTCCAAAACATTCATCGGTAATCAGTGAACAAAAGGATCAGATGATACTATCAGCGTCTGTAGAAGAATTATCAGAAAGCATGTCTAAATCGGATCTAACACATGATAATGATAATGTCCAAAACAGTTTCGATGTCATTCCTAATACATTTGACCATCAGCGGAAAGTTGCGTGGATTCGATCATTAGAAAAGAACTATCCAGTTTGCAAGACAACGGGTATTCAAGCAATAGCCGAAACAGAGGATAATGGAGTTCAAACGTCTCTAGTATTTACGCCAACCGAAGAGAAAGAAAATCCATCATTGAAAGAAACAATTGTTAACAAAAAGCCAGTTTACGTCGTATATCCAAATTACGCATTACCCGATTTATCTTTTCTTAATCTCAAAGACGCAAAGTTGAATAACGTAGCCTTAAAACCGCAATGCTTCGGGAAAAATAAAACGAATTGGAAACATACTGGTAGATCTGGTGGTAGACCATTCTCCTGTACCGATATAGATGCATTGCGCCAACGTGGATTTTCTCACGTTAAAGACTGGGAGTCGTTGACATTCCTTTTGCCTACCGAGTACAAGAGAATTTTGCACGATGTGCCAGAAGTCTCGCGGCATATCAATATTAACAAAGAAACGAAAAAGCCTCTGTTTTGTTTATCGCCCCCGATGCGTCATAAAGCTCGTCCTATGAGTGACATCATATCAAATAACACATCCTCCACTAGTAGCACCGCGACACAGCCGTCATCTGGATATCGAGGTTCTTCTACGATATTAACCGATTCTTCGACGAACCAGCAAACGTCGAACAATGCAACCAATCCATTATATCTTTACCGTTACGATAGTATTAGTTCTGAGGCCAGTTTAGTAAGTAATGATAAAAAGGTCCATAGACAAGTTAGCAAGACGAAGACAAGCTGCCCGTCTCTTCCAAAACGATCGATCTCGTTACCACATGGAGATCGCGAATCGGACTTTAGTAACGGAAAAGTGCCACCAAGACCACCTTTACCCAGAAGTATTTTAAGAAAGAATAAGGTTTCTGCGAGCAAAAGATACAGCATGTTTGAAATGGGAGATGTAGAAGAAATAGAGGATCAATCTCCCGAAGCGAATAAACGAATGTCTTTGCAAGAACCATATTACATGAACAATGATCTGCAATTATTGTGTCGTGGAAGAATTATTGATTCAGAAAAAGACGTCGATGAAACGGAAGAAAGATATCATACAGGTAAATAATCGCTCAGCATCTATTTTGCTATCTTTTACAGCTTAGTCATATTTTCTTGGATTTTATAGAGAGAGTCAATGAAACAGCTAGTATGGGAGACATAGAGACTGAAAATTTGGAAAATAGTGAGGATGATGTAAAACAGTTGGAAGAATATTTGAAACGTAGCGGTTTCTCATCGCAGAGTAGCGACGGAGATACAGATGATCATGATGTTAAATTACGGTCATATGTAAGAAAGTTTCTAGCTCTCAGGATGAACAAAGATGTTACCAAAACTCCCGATATGATAGAATCACAGAAAAAGACTGTCAGTTTTGCTGTAAACCAAAGGAAAAAACACTTAGATAATAAGGTAATTTGAAGCATAAGTTCCACGTTAGTTTTCGTATTAAATTGTATATTATATAAACCTTCATTTCAGCCCAATAACTTAAACGCAAACGAGCAAATTAAAAATTGTGCCGTTACGGAAGAAAGGGGGGATGCGAGTCCTGAACCTAAAGTATTAGATTTAGACGAGAAGAGAAGTAATATATTACAAATTCTTACATTTTTTTTTTTTAAATAACTGTGTTAACAGTCTTTTAACACGCGTACATAAATTTTCAGAGATGATATTGTCGGCAAATAAAGCAGTGGATTCATTATTAAAATATTGGAACGGCGAGTCTAACCATAGTAGACAAAATTACAGTGATAAAAATGAATGTGCTCAAATCTGTCTTAGTAATTTATGTCCGGCTTTGTATGCCATCATGTCGGATGGATTGAAACCACACTTGAATTCTACATTTGGACCAATAACGAATAGCGTGTGGCAGGTGGTCGAAGCATCTTCTCAACAAGGTCCACTTACCAAGACGTTGAACGAATTAGTACAAAAAATTAATGGCGAAGATGTTATTACGGAAGGAATGTTGAAATTCCATGCATTTGTATTTGGTTTATTAAAGTAAGTTGACGTGGTGTCATGATATTTGTGACATATGTATGATTACATGATAATTATACTTTCCGTTCTTTTTTCAGTTTAAGAGCTTTAGATGCGTGGTTTGCATACTTGTGTACAAGGGAATCCATCTTAAGAAAACATTACAATACTAACAGTTTATTCGTAGGAGCTTTAGCCAATGCAAATGCACGAGAAGTTGTCGACGCCCTCTTGTACATTCTAAATCCTCTTGCATTTTGCCCATTTCAGCTTGATCTTTTGTATCAGTATCGGCAGCTTCATAATAGTTTCGGGAATTTAAATAATCATAATATAAACGTGAGTATCATTAGAATATTCCAAATATTCGTCGTTGCAGCTTTTGTTACTAAATATCATCGTATAAATTTACAGACCGTAAACTTCAGGAACGTTGATATTCCTCCGAAGGAACATCATTTTGATAAAGCGGACGTTTGTGCAATGGTTTCTAGTCCAAGAAAAGTACGTCCAAGATCTTGCGTCGCTTATAGCAACTACGACGATAAGTCTGGCGGTGCGCATAAGCCAGACATGGAAATTGTAAAGAAACGTTTAAGCAATCCTATAGGTTCGAAAGTATTCCGCGCTCTCGATAAACTGGCTTCCGAAGATTCTGAAGATTATACCGATAGTTTAGAACATTCGCCGCTAAATCGCGCAGCGAATAAGCATCATCCTGTATCTATAAAATCTCATAGTCCAGAAACTAAAACTGACGACGAAGACAATATACCTGGAGAAGTGAAATTTAGAAAGCTTCAAGAAAAATGGGAGCTAATGGGTGGAAAGGAGGATACGAAGACCCAACCAGTAATGCCGTCGCCTTTATCGCCAACCAGAACGCCTACGAGTTTAGGAAAATCTAAAATACCTAGGCTCCTTACGTCACCAGTAAAGCAGTTGAGCGCAATATCGGGAACCGCTAAGAATACAAAATCTCCTGTTTCGGGAATTCCATCTTTGAAGAAACCTGTTCTATTTTCGACGGCGAAAACTGTACCAAAAAAATCTGTAGAATTAAGAAGCAAAGAAGTAACAAAGCGTACTAGCAGAGTGGATCAGGAGGTTGTAGGGACGACGCGAACTCATTTGACGCGACCTAGCTCTCTACCTTACAAGTCGTATGGGGTAATGTCAAAAGAGAAGAACGTAGTATCCCCGCAGAGACGAGCAGCATCTACATCTTTACCACGACCAACTACCACCACCGCTACGAAAAATCCCCCCTCAAAGAAACCACTTAAGTAAGTACAGAGAAATTTTATTCTCATCAAGTGATTAAACCTCAATTTGTAGATTCTAGATGAAGTAGTAGTTGATAATCGTAGAATTCTGTATATTTCTTAATTTCATTATGCGTTTTAATTAGCTCTCGTAGAATCTACCATTCTTGTTTTTTAGTGCATTCAAATTTTTCGTTCATAGTTTTGTTGCTTAACGTTTCGTTGTTTCTTCTGTTTTCTTTTTATAGATTAGTAAAATAACAGTTCGCGAATCTCGATTCCAGAGAAGTTCGCACACTTACACACAGAAGTCCGTCAGATAACGGACATCTGGCGTTTGGAGAAGGTGAGAAGTTGAAAGTAATTCTCGAAGTAGATAATAAGTGGTTATTGTGCGCAAGAGGTGATCGGAAAGGTTTGGTACCGCGGATGTGTGTGTATAATATTCAGACTTAGCCCTACACTTCGTGTTGGTAAAGAGATAATTTAAGTGAGACAAAGTTATATAAGACTTCGACAACCATGAAGATATTCGATGATATTGGGGATAAATGTGTACAGTGTATCAAAGGAGAGGCATAGAATTGTTTCTAAAGTATGGCATAGTAATTATCTGTAATTGTTTGAAGCTTCATTTATATCGAATTGCGATAGTATTATCACTCATAACGTCATCGGTAAGAAAATAGGTATCACTAGTCATAGGCATTCAAACCAGATTATATTTAATTAATTGAACATACACCTATTTATAACCAGAATGTACATATATACAGTAAAGTATGATGATAATAATGATAAAGACGAGAATGACATGTAATAACTTATAATTATTATGAATGTAACTGTGATCATAGTGTATAGGCGAGTAAGTTTATTAATGCGAATGTGCGATAACGTTGAATTTTATTTTTACCGTTGTAACTTATATTTTATTCGTATCTATTCCGTAACGTCGCACGTTTAACGAGTATCTCATTTAGTTTTACCTGGTGTATAAATTATTACATCGCGCGCTTGTGGTTCGCAACAACCACATTTTTTTACTTGCTGCATGTATTCTTTAGTATGCGACGACATACTGTATAATCAAATAAAATCTAAAATTGTAATTGCATTTGTCCCTGTATATTTCCTGTAAGGCAACCTGTTTATTTAGGACACTAGAGAAGTACGAACAGAAAGTAAAGGCTTTCAATTATTTTATATGCAGCGAATAAAATCAGAAATAAAACAAAACCTGAAAGGAGTACTTATGTATTTGACGAGTATAATTTCCACTAATACAATTGGCAAATAAAAGAAAACGTGTTGGTCGATATATGTTTATACAATTACACCACATTTACTAAATATACTTTTTAAATATGTTCCCATTTCTAATAATACTTGGTAGACCAATGTTTCTTGCCCAGCTAACTAAAATAGTTATTATTTTATTTGTGTTCGACTGTGCATTTATGATTATAGAAAAAATAAATCGATACTACAGAATAATCACAATGATATGATAAATGGTAATTTGTTTTCATTTCGAACGTATTAGTACTGATATTTTCTAAAACAAAGATGAAGTTATTATTACATGTTTGAATGTTAAAAAATGTTACACTATTTTTTCAAGCACCGCTTTTTTTATTCCCTCTTTTATAATGTTAATGTCTATGATCGATACTATAATCATTTTATATTCTGAGGAACTTTCTGTAATCAACACACCTTTCATATAATTCTATGAAAAAGATGATGTGCTAGAATTAGTACACTTTATTCGTAGCGTAAAGTAACGTTTCTGCGCACTCGTTTTATAAAAATTTCTCAGGCCATTGTTACAAAAATTTGTTATCAATTAATATAATTTTGAAAACAGTTACATCCAATGTGCGTAGGAACATTCTATTGCTATGAGTCACATTACTTTTAAACGATAATTAAGAAATTACTTGTTTCTTTAATAATCTTATCTCTAAATTACATCTTACTAAATTTTTATTTACAGTTCTTTTTTTCATTATGTTAGACTAGATGCAGACAGGGCATATCTGGTTAGTCTATACTATAATACAATGTAATTAAAAGAGAATATGCGATTAAACAAAGGTTTATAAAAAATTACTATGTAATCAATTGCTCGAAATTGTCTATCGATAATGACGATAACAGTAGCGGAAATAGATAGTGATATCAAGTGACATAATATGTTACGTGTGATATCAAATTTACTATGAAACTGGAAGTATTTTGATACTTTAATGCTAAATTACAAAAGACATTCGCTGTATTTACAAACATGATTTGAACAGGTATTCTATATCTTACAAGATGAAGAATTTTTTGCAACTCGATATAATTAATTGATGAAAGTAGCATTTTTTTAAATTTTTGTAGTTTGTTCACAGAATTTCGTATAAAGTTTGAGAATTGAAAGAATTATAATTCGAAAATTATATAAGTATATAATAACATCCAATTTTTAATCAAAATTTTCACTATACCTGCAATGTTGATATCAGTAAGAATTTGTATATGCTAAAACTCACAGATTACAATATTGATGTACATTAATATACAGTATATTATATGTGACTGGAATGCCATTATGGTACTGTCAATATTAAAACCTAACTTCCATATATACTGATGGGATATGATTTAGTATGAGACAAGCAATATAGCATGATACATTGTATGCATGTCTATGACTTGTGTATCTATCTATGTATATACGATCAGCCATAGTGATTCTAGCAAGAGAAAGTAATCAACTCCAACACTAATTGAAATGCCTTTCAGGCAGGCATCTCGATTGGTGCTGATGTTAATGATTTTCTCGAGGTACCACGAATCCGTGAGGCAGACCGTACAAGGAGTTTCAAAATATTACCTCATCATTGCTCTCTATTGAATCCATACATGAGATCGTGAAATTGAAAAGATTTTGTTCTCTTTTATTGTAAACAAACACTTTATTCATATTTCAGTCTCACCTTAACAGACTGATATTTCTGTTAAATGCATTGCTTCCCAACTTTTCACACGAAGATTCTTTCGAATTACACAACAATTAGCAATGATGAGTTTAGAATGTTCTTATTACATGAATTTTACAAATGAGATTTTCAACATATACAGTATATATATATATATGAAATAATAAGATTTATAATGGAATTTTCTTAAAGGATGCAGTTGTCTGCTTTTTCGATATGTAAAAGTCCAAAAATCGTTTAAATCTAGATAGTGTTGCAATTAACCCATAATTAACTCTGATGTGCAAGATTGTGTAATCGACTATTTAAGGTAACTGTTAAATAAACTCTGTGCTCTATGGTTCTCCGATTGCTTAACATTATTATACTTATATTGCATTGTAAAGATGAATATCATACATAAAGATCTGCGTTTCTATAAAATAAACGTAATATTACATGATCAATTATGGGTTAATTCACCATTTATAACATCATGTACTAAAGATTAATAGGTACACGTTACCGATTTCAATGTGTCTTACATAGCTAGAAATGAATATACAAAGATGAAGAAGCTCTAATGTGTGCATATATTATTAACCTTTTGGCACTGTTAAAGTCCAGTATCAAAGATAAAATAACTTGCTGTCCTTTACTTGCTCTGAGAAATTACAAGTGTATTATGGGCAATATTCGAAATAGACTTAGGCCTTAGTTATGTCATTACATTAATTCACGTAATTATTATCACAGCTTGCAGTACAATTGTACTCTCTAAAAAGAAATTTAGTATTTTGAAATCCAATGGCTTACTCATGCTTCAAATAAGATAAGTTCGTTATACTATTGTATTTAAATTATTTCTAATTTAAAGCAAATCTCTTTGTTATTGTTGCTCTAATTAAAGAAAAGTCAGAGCAAGTAAAGGGAATCACGTACTTAAATTGACTCATTGAAACCACATCTTAAATAAAACTGAGTTATCCGAAACGTGCATCTTGAATCGCCATGGTGTCTTTGCACTATGAGATTTAATTCAGAAAAAGTTGTATGTGATAAATTTTGGAATAAGCATGTCCAAACTAAATACCAACATTTCGTCGCTTTTTCTTACGGGAAGCTTTACTCGTGGACATGCCTGTTTTGGAGTATTATTATTGACTGCTCGACGAACGAATATTTAAATTGTAATCATTTTGAACTCATCTACATTCTGCAGTTATTTACCAGCTAAGGGTACTAATGCCATACTAACAGATATAATTCATTTCTTCTGAGTAAAATTACTACGGATACATGATTGGTTAAAGTATTTTGCAAATACTTTGAAAACTTATCCAGTCTGATGATACAGTCTTTAATATAAACAAGTTGGCAGGACAATGAAAACTGACATAAAATTTTACATTCTTAGAAGAATATTAAAACTTGTAGAAGCTATTATCAGAAAACATTAAACTTGTCAGCTCTTGTTAATTATCCAATATTAATTGGATTCAATTAATGTAAAATTATTTAAACTTTAATATATAAACTAAAAATAAACAGACACTCTAAAAACGCTTTCGATCACCGACAAATTATATTATGTGAACTGTAGAAAGCTGGTTCAAACAAGATGCTCCGCTTCATTAAATATTTCTAATACATAAATAATATATAATAATCACGTATGTAAGGTCTTACATGTCCGTTGTATGTACACTGGATGCAAGACTTGTTTCAAGGTTAGATCATGTGTACACGAATTGGCGAATTATCTTCATTCACAAAATTGTATACGTCCGTAAAGAAACTAGCACAATTGAAGCAAAATGTAAAAGGAAGACTGTTACTTCACACGGTCAAATTTAATCCATGAACTTCTCTTACACAACACCAATTTTGATTTTTCGATATAAATCTTCGTAACGTACGATACTAAGAATCGATACAGGAAGTTACTATATTTATAAGATACGTATTCATTATAGATAAAAACATATTCCAATATGAATTTAATTTCAATATGTACTATTTTCCATTGCCAATTAAAGTGATGATTAAATAAAATTAGTTCATGGAGAACATCTTATTCCGTGAAGTAAGCTAGTCATCTTAAATACTATATATTACAAAATGCAAAATAATCGGAGTAGCTCATTTATTTCGCGCGAAATCCTAATAAATTCCTCATGGCTTCCAATCAGTTAACTCGACTGTTCCTACCAGGTACTTTGTATAAGGTTGTTGAGTCATCTTTGTAACAATTCACATATGATACGATTTTACAGATAAAAGTCTTTCATTGAAATTCACTTGGCTAGTGTTTTATCCATTTTGTTATCTCTGAACAATCATTGCATGGTTGCTAACATCAATGAGGAATGTAATCATTCCGTGTTTAGAAAAAAAAAAGAAAGAGAAAACATAACGTATTACATACATATTCAATTCCATTTTATACACTAAAATGGAAGTAATTATAATATAAAATAAAGAGTATAAATTTCATTGTTCATATTTGTCAGTAATACTGCATGTACGAAAAACTTTTTAATTGTATTTTATTTTCCATTGGTAATCATGCGTAAAACGTAAATGTTTTCGAACATAAAAAATCTAGGAACCTTTAATAATAAAACTGTCTTTCGCGCTATTAATACTTAATTTATGACTAATTACTCATTTATACGATTTAATATTCTGTGTTAATGTTAATGAAGCTACTGATGGATAACAAACTGAATATTCGGTATGAAGCACTGATTACACAATGTAAACAACATTAATTATATACACGAAAACATCGTAAATATGAGAGGTTACGATAAGTGTTATAAGATCAATACCATATATCGTCTAATAAATAGAAATAATTAAAAAAACTGTCCTCGTAAAAATATTTTTACTTCGTACTTTATCTAATCCACAAATATGTTATATGATCGAGTTACGTTAATGTGAAATATAAAATTCTTACAAAAAAAGAGAAAGTTAAAAGCAAAGAATAATGATACAAAAAATGACATGCAATATTTCAACATTCCTCATTGATGTATACGTAAAAATTATGATACAGAAAATGGTTGTGCAATGTAACTAAAGCTATAATACACGTAGATTAACTACATACTAGATTCCTTAGTGGTGATAGTCTCGTTGGTATTATCAACTCTTATCAACGTCGACGAATTTAAAACAAGCGTCCTACTTAGTGTAGCAACTCTTTCCATCACACAAGAAGCTGAAAGACGCGCTTCTGCATCATGATCCCAACACTCTTCCATTGTATCACAAATTGATTGAAGTCCCTAATGATGAAGGAATTGATTAAAATTAGGTATTCTCTTTGATACTTCGAGAATTTACTTACAGGGTGTTTACGCCATGTTTCTAAAATGAGCGGCCTTTCCTTCTTATGCACCACGCTCTCTTGCATATCTTCCAATGTTGGATGAAGACCAACTTCGTCCTCAAATGGTAATCTATACTCCCCGATTGGTCCCTAGAGTAGATAAAAACAATATAATGTAACAATCAACGACATATCTTAAAAAATACATAAATAAAAATTTACATCTTGCACGGTGCATCGCGAAGCTAACTCCCAAAGCACAAGCCCGCAAGCGTACATGTCAATACGTAAAAACGAGTCTCTTGTAAAATTAATTGCACCTTCTAAAACTTCTGGTGCCATATATCTTCTTGTTCCAACCTAAAAGCAGTCAAATGTTAATCAAGTTTAATATGTTACACGAAGCATACGATAAGCGTACCTGTCCATGTGTATCACCACAAGGTTTTCCAGGATGAAATATCAGTGCTAGACCAAAGTCTGCTATGCAGGCATTCATGTCAGCTTTAAGGAGAACATTTTTCGATTTAAAATCTCTGTGAGCAACAGCAGGTTTGTAACCATCCGCTTTATTGGCTGGAATTTCTTCGTGTAGGTGCATTAAACCTCTGTTACAATTAGTCATTATTGTATTAGTACTAAATCCGAAATGTAAGAAATATTTTTAAAATACGCTTCAAGCGTTACCTTGCCATGGATTCTGCTATTCTACACATCTCAGGCCATGTAACAACATTTGCCTTTAAGTAATCGCATAGCGATCCTTTCTCATGGTACGCGGTAATCAACCAGAATTCAGCTTGTAAATTATCCCCTCTTTTTTCAACGCCTATAAAACGTAATATATCTTCGTGATCCATATGCGCTAGTTTGAAAATTTCTTGTTCAGTCTGCCAGGACTGTTTGTCCTGTATAGGAAACACTTTGACAGCGACAATTTCATTTTTCAATTGTGCTTTCCAAACTGCTCCAAAACGACCACGAGCTTTGATCTCCAAAAGCTGAATCGGACGTAGTCCCAAATTGGGAGATGGTTGCGGCAATGGAAGAGGCTCTAACGTGGGTACCTATGAAATTTACTTTGTGTTAGGATTATACGTCAAGCGTGGTTTACCGTACATGACCAAAACAAAAGATATAAAACGTTTAATAGTTTAACATTATGTACATATGTCTTCCAAACCTCGTTGAAATATCCCAACTTTCTACGTCGATAGCACCAATATAAAAATGGCAAAATAATAGCGAGAAGGAGCATGGGTATAGATATTGATAAAACGAGTGTTATTATTTGTTGTTCTGTGTTTGGAACAGGCTCCGATTCTAAAACATAAGAATAAGAATGTAGATTAATTATGTTATTATTTGTAATAAATGCATACCTCGTATAACAGAGGGTTGGATAGGTTTAGAAGAAGAAGTTGGGTGAGGATCCCATGTGAAATTCTGGTTACACATGTTGCCATCACAGCAACAGAAAAATAATTCCTTCTTCCTTTCTGCACTGTTCTCAATGCAATGTGGCCTATCATAGCAATCATTGCTGTCCAAAAAACATCCCTGAAATTTATGGTAACAGCTTCTCAATAATGGAAGGATAAATTAGAAGGTAAATATTATAGATAAAGGCCTGATTGGTACAGCATAATACAAATACATCATATACCTTTAATTTAATTATAGATTTTTTTGTAGCATTATCAATCTGCCACAGTACATAACAGTGGTTTCTTTTCCCTGGGTCATGAGGACCACACTCTTCTTTTCCTGAGCATTCCTGCTGGGATTCTGTACATAAGGTTTCATTGTAAAATTCACAAACCGAGGAACCCTTGACATCGTGTCCTAAGGTAGGTCCTAAAATTGATAATTTTTTACAAATATCTAACATTAACAAATGACAGTTTGTGTTACAATACAGAAATGAAAAAATATCAACTATACAAATATATAAAATAATTTATTAAATTACCCTTTAAGGTACAATGAGTGGTACATGTTTAATGCTACTAACAGGAAATCAGTAACAGAGATGTAAACACTATTCATAAAGGTTATTAAATAAGTCACATGTAAACAAAAAAATCTGAAGTGCATATTTTATCATTCTATGTACATGTACAGAGTTGGATACAATTTCAATGTTGAGAATATTGCTTTAAAAATAATTTTAAAATCCATTTCATTTCTAAGCTCTAGAATAATATTTTGAATAATAGTACACAGTTTTTCATATTTGCATTGTAATAAATTCTCCAAATTCTACATTTTATTTATAACAAATCTGACAAAGTTGTAAAAGTCTATAAATAATCCATTGAAATTTGTACCATATCCAGAACAAAAAAGTGTATAAAAAACTTGTGTAAATTCGTTAATCGTACACGTTCAGAACAAACGTACAAACTATAGTTTTTCACATGCATATAGCGAGTATGTACGGTATGTAAACACAAAACAAAATATCGGTCCATCGAGTGCGGAGAATTTATTAACGGTTTGAAACGCATCGGTCACGGAAATAGCATCGCAATCTCCAGGAAGAATTTTCGCATCGTGCATGTAATTTACATCGCGGATGCAATTGTCGAACGGAAGATAATGGAACATGCAATTACCTAACAATCCTAGGATGAGATATGGCAGTATCGTCACGTATGCGGACATCGTGAACGGATCGCAAAAGCATACCAGAAATTTTAAAGTCTAGGTGCACGGTTGTTCGCGAGATGTGGCTACAGCGCCGGACTTTGGTGCGCAAGGTCCGGGGTTCGCGCTTAGCCGTCACATCTGGGTTATTTTCTACGTGATCCGCACCATCACGTGTGTGCCCCTGCCTCGCAAAATGCGCGTTTCAGGGCACCATGGTTCCCGTGGAGATCGAAATCGCGTCGAATCAAAGTAAAGGAGAAACGTAGAAATTCCCTCCTATTAGCTATTAAGCAAATTGTAGTAATTCATCCACCGACACATCTCTCTTCCTCACCCCTCCCACGTTCGTGCAGGAACACGGACACCATGGATTTATGTCATTTTTCACCATTCGTACACACCGATTCCAGCCACTTTTCGTCGATCACGATTATACCGACGAACAAACGATCTAGGTAGAACAGTTTGAGGACACTCGCGAGCCGATGGGTTTCGTAAGTTCGTGAAACTCGAACGAATTCGTCAAAGGACGTCCGAAACGCACGGGAGGATGGATCATAAACTAATGCGTCGCGATAGAACGACGACCTCGAAGCAAAACTGATCGCTACGCTGCAACTTGTAGCGTTGTTGCTAAGCTTTGGATTGGGAATAAATGAAAAACAAGTGGGGAAAAACAAACGCATTTCTTTGTTATTGGATATTAGTCAAAGTAGGAGTAACGTTTTGTAATACTATTCTTCAACTAACAAGAGGAACTGTAATATACAACTACGTATGTAGCTTGAGATAGGATCAAAACAATTGGTGTGCTAGAATCTCAGTAATAAATAGATTCAATAGAAGCTGTTTGTGTACAATAATTATAGTTCTGTAATAAAACAACTACATGGAAACAATGGTGTGCTAGGCCCTCAGTAAATATAGATTTAATACGAGCTATATATGTTATTATTTGTATATAATAATTGTTATTTTTTGTGATATGTATAGAAGTATAGAGTCTTCTAACATTGTTATGCTTTTTGCACAATATCCAATCCTATACGATATCTATGATGTTAGTTCAATTCCTGATTTCATCATCTATTTATGAATATTTTATTTCCAAAAACATGACTGTGGCCGATATCCCTGATAAATGGTTCAAATTCTTTATCGATTCAGAAGAGGATCTCTTTCACCGTCTTTTATTCCATTTGTCTTTTCGAATTGCTGTTTGATTTTTGTTTATTAATAAATAGCTTTCTGGTTGAACAATAGAAAATAAAATCACTTATATTCTGAACATATTTTTATTATAGTCTCAAGTGCTATATTTAACCTACTAGTGGCGCCATCGGTGGGAAAACGCCCAAGTTTGTAGTCAAGTTAGTTTGTATCTTTGACTCTAGATGGCGTCTGTAATTTAAATAAAAATAGCGCCATCTACCAGGAAAGATAGGAATTATTCGAGGACAAACTTGGGCGTTTTCCCACCGATGGCGCTACTGATATTGCAGCTAACTTCAGAGTAAACTTAGAATGCTCTGAAGTGCTCGGCGAATAAGAATTTCTTTTCCAAGTGGCGGAATGGCGGATACGTAAGTGCTGTTCAAGTCTCAAAGATATCCGAAAACATCGCTCGTTATCATAACTATTTTGATTTCAAAATGTATTATTATAAGTTCTTTTTAATTAATACATCAAATATATATCATAGTTTTTGGACTTTACGTAAGATTGAAAACATATTATACCTTGCTGGCAGATCATACCGATCAGCATGAGACACGATGGAATTAATTTTTCATCTCTAAAAGTTGTATCATTTTATTTAAATAGATGTTAATTTTTGTTTAAATGAAATAAATTTGAAATATTCATTTTTTATAAATAACCTTGTTTTTTTACATTATTCAAAAGAACCTAACCTAATTGAAATTCTGTATACAATAGGATTTGTCTGTCATTTTTATGTAAATACGATATACAAATCTTAACATTCGTAAAACTTTTTCACACAGAAAGAAGGCAACAGAAGCCGTAGCTGGCAAAAAGCTACCAGCAGTACCAGAATCGGTACTTAAAAGAAGGAAAACTCGCGAGGCAGTGAAAGCTGCACGTCTTCAAACTTCTATTCAGGTATTTCTCTCTTCACTTAATTTTTTGTGGTTCACGACTAAAAATTATTCAAATCATTTTTCGAATTTTATAGCAACGCGCAAATCGTTATAAGAAACGAAAGGAAATTTTTAAAAGAGCAGAGAAATATGTGAAAGAATACCGAACAAAGGAGAGGGATGAGATCAGATTAATAAGACAAGCCAAAAACCGTGGAAACTACTACATCCCTGGAGAAGCTCGTCTGGCATTTGTTATTCGTATTAGGGGGTAAGTCATTTATTCTTTGAGGTTAGCTTGTGGTTAAACTATACATGGAGTATACAATTGAATGTCAACATTTCAGTGTGAACCAAGTTGCTCCAAAAGTACGCAAAGTACTTCAATTATTCCGCTTAAAACAGATCAACAATGGTGTTTTTGTAAAACTGAATAAGGCAACTATTAACATGCTTCGTATTGTTGAACCTTACATTACATGGGGATATCCAAATTTAAAATCAGTTCGTGAACTGATTTACAAGAGAGGATTTGCTAAAATAAATAGGCAACGCATTCCCATTACAAGCAATGCCATCATTGAAAAGAAACTTGGTTAGTATGAATTATTTATTTTAATTCTTTGACAAATCCATGGAGGTTTTATTCAGTTATAATACTGCTTCCTTCCATCTTGTCAAAGAGTAATAGAATATTTGAAAAGCCTATTCATTCATTTTATGTTTAGGTTTGCAATAATTCATACAATTTTTAGTTGTATTAAATAGTACCATCTTTCATTAAATAGGATTATGATAATAAGTGTAATGAATCTTTACAGGTCGCTCTGGTATTATCTGTACAGAAGATTTGATCCATGAAATATTCACAGTTGGATCAAAATTCAAATATGCAAGCAATTTCTTATGGCCATTCAAGGTACATATAACAACAAAATTCTCAATTGCGACATAGGCATGGTTGTAGAAACACTCAGTGCTCTACAAACCTCCTTCTATGTCGTAAAATAATACGAGTTTCTCTTCATGACATGCATGTATTAATGCATTTCTTAGTCGAACTCAAACACTATAACAGTGATTGTAATTACTTATATTTTAAGAAACTAATTTTCGTCTTTTTACTCTTAGCTTAACACACCCAATGGTGGATGGCGCAAGAAGACTAACCACTATGTTGAAGGTGGTGATTTTGGAAATCGTGAAGATAAAATCAATGAACTTCTCAGGAGAATGGTTTAAATGTATAAAAATCTTGATAAATAAAAATTTAAATACTATAATCCATTATTTTGTGTTAAGTTTCAATCCTACGTTTATCATAAGACTAGCAAAATTAGTAGAATTAAACATTTTTTACGATCACAATACTTATGATTAATTATATTAAAATCTCACAAAAACATGTATAGATTTTGAGATGTATCTCCTTGTAATGGATAGGTAGTACTACTCAATCAATAAATTATATATCTGCAATGCTGTTCCCAGACAAATTATCACATTTTTTATTTGAACACGTAACATGCCAAAACCGTGAACGCATGCGCTACATTACTATATCATTGTTTTCCATTCTGTTACATCCTGCTATGCCAGATTACAAGAATGGTGTGTAGAAGTGAAGTTGTGAGTTCGAATCCTGTACCAGAAAGTTCAAGTTGAATATCTTTTTTCTTCGATAGAATATTAGTTTTCATATAGAAATAAAATCTGGAGTAAATCTTGATAAATGTGTTGCATAAAAAGTGTGATATTATTGAATATCAAAATTACGCGTACCTGTTTCGCACATAAATATATATATATATATGTACCTAACCTTATCTTTTCCCTTGAAAAAAGTTATTAACATTGATTCTACGCGTAAGCAATAAATTATTACAAGGTTTTGAGTAATATTCTGAGTACCGTTAAACTTTATTCGTGAATTGATGTTGAAAAAATACGTGATAGTTATGCGATTTCAAAGACAATTACAGACACCTTGTTTTTTGGCCACATGTTCTAACGTTCGAATCCTGCACATAGCAATTTTCTTTTTATAATTGATAAAATATATTTTTGTGTTGCAAAATGTTCTATCGAAATAATAAAATATTTATGAAATTTCAAATTGAACACGGTATTTCAAAATGACACAAAAAATATTAATTTAATACAATTTTCAGTTGTTCATGTTCACAATTAAAATATACAATATTTTAATTGAATATTGCAGTTTTTTAATATTCATTTAAAGCGCATTAATAATGAACAAGGTAACTGTGGATTCTGACACTCCTGATAAAATGAATCTACGTCCCACTAAAACAAATCATGCATTAGGTGGTAATACAAAAATGTTTATTCTTCCTCCAAATATGTTACAAAATATTTGTATTGGTGATTCTATAGTAAAAGGTAAATATATTAACTTTTATAATTATTAAGAATACTGACTGACATTTTATTTAAAATTGATTACAGGTAGAAGTGGAAAATCTGCCAAGGAAATCATAAAAAAAAGTAATAATTTAAGTACTGTTATACCAAAAGAGCATAAGGATCATCAGACTGCTAAAATAGATATTGTAACTAAATCAGTCATAGTTACAAAAAATAATAAAAGTGAATTGATAAATGATACAAATAATGAAATTCAAATAAGTGCAACAAAAGTGCCTAGACTTAATAGAAACAAAAAAAGCTTAATATCCGAAGTAAGTCACACAGAACAAGCAAACTTTATGACTGATAACATAGAAAATAATCAATCTACCTCAAATGATGTATCAAAGTCTCAAAGAGCAAACTTAAGGTCTGAGCAATGTAGCAATGAAATGATATCTGACAAAAGTTCAGAAAGTCAGAAAAGAACAAAAAGTAAATATGAAATTGATGAAAATTTGTTTGGTAGATCTAAACGCATTCGCAAACAAACTAATTTTGATGATTACATAACAATTCATAAAAAGAAATCTGTTGAAAAAGAAAGCCCAATTTCAAATGAAAGAAGAAAGAGTACTCCTACTAGGCAAGTGAAACAGGTAACTAGTTCTAGTATTTCTTCAACTATAAATGGAACAAATGATATAATTAATTTTGAAACATCTATGAAAGAAGAGACTCAAAATATGCAAAATGCCACTGATGAAATTGCAATTGATGTACATATAGATCATACTTCTAACATACCAGCCATGACCACAGAAACACTGCCTTTAAATTCCTGTGAGACCTTGGAAGATTATTCTACTATTCAAACTAATCAAGATAATCCTCATACAAATCATTCACAAAATAATGAAGATGTTATAAGTAACACATGTGCAGACATAAAAAGAGTAAAAGATACAGTAAAGATAAATTACAAAAATCGTAATAAAATATGTGTGGGATCAATAACTACCTCCTCACTTGAACATACTACTACAAAAGAAAATAATTTAGAACTAAAAAAAACAGAAGATTTGAATGATAGAGATATAAGTAATCAAACTTCTTTGACTATATCACCTGTGAGAAAAAGAGGAAGACCTAAAAAATATCCTTTACCTCAACAACTTTCTAGTACTTCAAACGAATTGGAAGGAAATGTAGAAATGATTCAAAAGATAGATAATGCTTCCATTGCAGAAACAGTAACTCATAGTAAAAGACATGAAAAATCATACAATATTACTAGTAACGATGACTGCAGTGATAATAGTAGTGTTGAAAGTAACACATCACATTTACATGCTGTTGAAGAAGGAAGTAGAGGTAGAGGTAGAGGTAGAGGTCGCGGTAGAGGTAGAGGTAGAGGAAGAGGTCGCGGTAGAGGTAGAGGTAGAGGATCATCAAATTCTATCTTGGATACTGAGTATGTACCAAAATTAAAGGGACCAATGCCTACAGACAAAATGAAAGAAGATGATTGTATTAAAACAACTGATGTCTCTGACAAACCAAAAGTAAATATAACATTGTAGACATATAAGTTGTTTTGTTAAATATGTCATCTATAATTGAACATTTTTAATTTAGATAGAACTGATAATATGTGCCAAATGTGAAATGGAAGTACCAAGAAAGCAATGGAACTCGCACAAGTTGCTAAAACATAATAATATGGCTTGGATGAAGGGTGAAGAACCAATGGTAAGTATAATACTGTAACTGTGATGCAGTACTGTAACAGAGTATCCTGTTTTAGGATTTTGAAAATGATATTAAATTATTACGGAGAGTACTTCTAGCTGCTGCTAAAAAAAGAAAGAGCTTGACTTGTGAATCATGTGGTACTGTGAAGAGAAGTGCAAATGGTTTTATATCTCATATGCAATTTTGTGGAAAATCTGAAGAAGTATATAATAATTTAATCAAAATAAAAAATGCTTTTCTAAAACACTCAAATATTTGGATATAAAATAGATTAATGTTGTAGGAGAAAAAATCTTTGTTATTACAATGCCCAATTTGTCAGGCTATTATGATGCCATCTTCTATGGAAATACATGAAAGGACTCATAGACAGTCAGAGAAAAGCAGAATAAAAGAATTACAATTATATTCTGCAGATACTGCAAGAGTGAAACGTAAAGCGGCGGAAAAGTAAGATTTGTATAATCGTGATTAAATAAAATCAAATACCGATATAATATTTTAATTTCAGAGCAGTGACAAAAATTTTAGAATTTACTGAGCTTGTTAAAGAAAATAATTTACCTGAGAAAAAACTGAAACTTGACTCTTCTTTATTGGTATGCTATTTCTTTCGGTAATTTCTTTTTTAGAATATTCATTGTACTAAACTTGTGCTTATCAATATTATAGAAAAGTGTAATAAAAACGCCTGAACAAAAAAAGTCTATACCGGCAGTACGCAAAGGTTTATGGAAAAAAGAATTAAGTTCAAAAGGAACAGTATCTTGTCATCAGATAGGTTGTAATTTTACATGTTCTTCTTTCGAAAAAATGTGTAAACATTTTTCTAAATGCAATTTCATTCCTCAAGAGGTACAATTTACTATAATAATATTAATAAAATTGTTTTATTTAATATGTTTCCATCATTCCAAATGGTTTTGTTTATTTTTACTATAGTGTTATGAATGTAAGATATGCAAATTTTCCACTACTTCTAACGAAGATATATTAGATCATGTGAAGAAAAAGCATGTGACAGAAGAAGGAATCGATAAATATTCCGATTTTGAAGAAGAAAATGATAGTTCGGATGAAAGTAAGAGTAAATTCTATTACGAAAAATAATCTTAAATTATTAAATTTCACTGACGATTGTTCTTTTAGGATCACCGTATATAATGAAATTTTTAGAAAAGGAACATCCAATCAAACTTCGATGGACGGAACTATATATTCCTACCATACGTTGGACTATGGAATTGTTAATATCTATATATAGCATAATTAACGAACTTTATAATGTTTATATCTTTATAATAAATTCCATCATCTTTTTCAGCGAGCAAAAAAATTATGGTCTTCATTTATTTGAAGATTATATTTCCAATCAATTTACATTATTAAATGATACAGATATTACTAAATATTTGCCACAATTAGAAGTTTCTATGAGAGTGAAAACACAATGCACAAAACCTGAAAAATCATCTAACACTGATGGTCCATGGAAGCAATGGAAGAGATTTGAAGGTGGCTTTGATGAAGGTAATTACTTTTATATAATTCTACGATATAATTGCAATAAAGATCGATGTATTGTTATTAGAGTGTTTGTTTAGGTATTGCAACATTTTTCGTTGGTGGCCCAATATGGGCATTAGCTTGGTTACCTATACCATCACCAATGTATCCTAAAAAACCTTGTCAATATGTTGCAATTAGTACTCATCCAACTATGGAGAGTGAGTACACTGTAGGAGAAGCATATTTTGGATCTAATATTATACAAATTTGGAATGTCGGACCTTTAGATTATGAGTTAGTAATGAAAATATAAATGAAATAAGATATAAAACTATATCAAAGTATTCAAAACGTATTTTGTTCTAGAACTGATAATAAAATAGAACCTACTTTATCATATGCAGTTGCACATAATGGGGGGACCGTATGGTGTTTAGAATGGTGTCCATCTGGATGTTACGAAGATGAGAGTCTGAATAATTATGAACAAGAAAACAAAATTCAGTCTAGTCTTAAGCGAATGGGTATGCTTGCTGCTGCTTGCTCAGATGGCAATGTAAACATTTATTCTCTACCCTTCCCAGAAGTACTTAAGTTTGAGAACACTAAAGAAAATAAGTGAGTAAGAACATTGTTAAATTTATTTAATATTGTTACAAATATTTAATATCATTATAGTTGGCCCATATATCACACTGACCCAGTAATGACATTAGTCGTAAATATTTCGACATATGATAACAATAAACAAAATTGGCAGTGTACCAAGTTATCATGGAGCAAAGAACATGGGCATAAGTAAGATTTTTGTTAATATGTTACTACTTTTTTCTCAATCTTATAATAATGAAACTATCACTTTTCTTAGTACAATTGCGGCAGGATATTCAAATGGATATATCGCGTTATGGGACCTTACATATAAATCACCATTATCAATGCAAAAAAGACAGAGCACATGGTTCATAAATGCATTTCAGCATTTTTATGCCCATGGTAATGCTGTAAGCAGTAAGTATATTCGCTTTAATAAAGTTTAAAACATAAATATAATAAAATTTAAAAAAGTATGCTTAACAACTATATTATCTTTGCAGTGTTAGTATTAGTTCCGTATAATGGAGCGAGATTTCTAGCCTCGGGAGGCCTCGACAGAGCATACAAGTTTTGGAATCTAGAAGATATAAGCACTCCACAAACCTACATGCAAAAGGGTATTATATCAAATGGTGTATGGATGACACATTGGCCATGTGTTGTTCTGAGTTTTGATGATGCATTTGGGTAAGAAATCGCGTTCGAAGATATTTTTTATATATCCTGGAACTTCTTTATTATTATGAAATTATTTTATTATAGATATAAGCATACCAATTCTTATCTAATTCCATTGAGAGATCAAGAATGCAGATCTTATCCTATATTAGCAACAAATTCTCCTACATACGTATGTAGGTTTTAAGTAGTTTTATGTACAATCTTTAAATATAGCATAATTCTTATTAGAATTTTTGCAGGCTTTATCAATTTCTGATTATGCAAATAGTATCGCACACGGCACATTAGCAGGTGAAATAGTGACAGTGTTTCCTCATCAACTTGTAAGCAATGCGGAAATTGAGAAGGCTATACATAAAAAAAGAAGGGTATTCCTCAAATTTAAAGTACCGACAGATTAACTTAGTAGTGAAAGTGAACATAACCTATGTTTTCAGTTAAACTCATACATCAAAATAGTAGACTTCTCGGAAGCAAATAGTGATAGCAAAAATGACGACGATAAAGAGAGTTCGAAAGATTATGACTACATGCCAGACACTTACAATGAATGCAAGGATCGTTTTGGTGTTATATTTTGTGATAATTTGAAGGTTATACATTTGTAATATTTCGTATTGTGTTTAACAAATTATTTAAAATAATGTTTTGTGTTATATTATATTTGAAGAGTTTCGATCGTAATGTGCAACCACAATCACTCTATGCAGAGAAACTAACAGCAGTCCCAATTGAAGAATATCCATTTATGTCAGTAAACCGAGTAAGTATTATAATTATCTTTTTTATTCTAATATTATAATTTTAAATAATCTTAACGATGGTTTTTTAAAACTCAAGATGTCTTGGAATCCAAATACATGGAGTTTTTTGTGGTTAATGGTTGGTTATCAAAATGGTTTGGTAAGATTGTTAAACTTGAAATACATGTCTGTGCCACGTGAATTACAAATATTGTTACCTCAACACATTGAGTCCATGCTTAAGAAAGTGAAAGTCACAACAAAAGAAAATTGTTAACATTTAAAATCATAATGTTTACTACTCTAAAATCAAGCATACTAAACATTAATAACAATAACATGTTATTGATGTCTAACCATCAATTTATTCGTAACTTTATAATAAAAGAAAATACGAGAACTGATATATTAATAATTACATCAAAATTATTGCTGTGTATATTTATAAAAAGTATTTAAATTTAATTAATGTATTTAAGTATTCTAGACCACCTGGGAAAGTAATGCATTTTTTGTATAATATGTATTTATAAATTTGTAATTGTTAATATTTAAAAAAGACATAGTAAAAGAACAAATATTAAATTATACCAACAAATAAAGATCTTTCGAACACCGAATGAATTCAGTATATCTTACATTTACTCTACCGCTTCCCTCCGTTACTTGATGGTACCACCAACTAGAGGCCCGGTAATTATTATTAAAATAATATATTACAATAACAAATTATACAGTTATAAAGCAAATAATCGTATTAATTACGCATTTATGAAAAATAAAGAATAATTATTTAAAAGATATCAGTGGCGCTATCTTACTGTAAAGGTTGGAACTATTTTCATTACAAACTTGGGCGTTTTGCCATCGATGGCGCCAGTAGTACTAAGACTTCGCTCATAGAGCGGCTTAGTGAGCGGTGGTCTTTTTGGATGCGCTCATCAATGTCAAAATTGGTAACTTTCCCCTACAATGGCAAGAATTGAGGATCCCCGGAATATCACACAGTGTAAACATTTCAGATGCCTATGATGGTGGGGGTTACATATGTATACAATCTCGACACGAAAAGTTTTGAAGCCTAAGCGAATACCATGAGAGGAATTAAAGTACTTCCAGTACTTCGTAACAAATCGTGAAGCGACAAGGAACTCCACGTCATAGTTCTTCCTCTGTCAATTGGAAGTAGTTTCTTTATCATAATTTATCACTGCCGGAAGTTCGCGATACCAAATACAAATTTCTTTGATGTTGAATAAAACAGAAAGACTAGTTCGCCAAGTACTAAGTATCCAAATTTATAAAAAATCGATCGAACAGGGAAACTGCTTTTATTTCGTTTCGTTTTAACTATTTGGTGCAAGTAAGTGAGGAATATTTTTTTTTTATTTCGGGTCTTCAAAAAAACTTCTATGTAATACAATGCAAAATGTATATGCTTTTCTCCTCTGTGTTTATGAATGAAATTTTTATATAACTAGCACGGTACAAAATCTTCGTTATTTTAGAAATGAGTATAAATCCAATGAAGTGGAAAACCAGAAACGTATTATACTCTACTATAGCGATCCTCGTTATTTACGTGGTTTTTGTGTATAAGAAAAAGCATCAAGTAATGTTCGAAGGTACAATACATGATTCGAATCCTATGCACGTATGGGAATTTGTGGCCGATTTTAGTAATATGAAGAAATTAAATCCAACTATGTGTGTAATACAATACTTGTTTCATGTTTTCTTTTTTTTTTTTTATATATATATATATAACAGATAATGCGATGAAGGAAAAATTTTGTTAAATTAACGTTTTTAGAGAAGACTTTAATGTTATCGCGGAAAGTGGCAATTACGATCATTGGAAGTATTCCGTTGAGTATATGGAACATTTAAGTCACTTACCAATTATTCGAAATAAAGCGCACGGACATTACGCTATACGACAAGATAACAACGGTTATTTGATCACTTCGAAACATCATACGTGCTTTTTCTCCAAATTCGGATGCTGTGAGTTGTTCTTAAGATTCGAAATAAGTATCGACGAATCGATCAGACTTTGAAATAACTTTAATCTAAAAGTCTGATTCCCATTTCAGTGGAGTCTATCTCACAATTCAGATTTGACCGTGACGGTACAAACGACACGAAGTGTATCGAAACAGTGCAGTACGAATGCCCCATCATATTTTCGACATTATGCTATAAAGAAGTCATGTATCAACGAGAAGAAATAATGAGGAGATTGAAATTAGAATTCTCGGTAGCAAAAGTTGAAAACGATTAACATTAATTATTTTTCTCATTTCGATGTAATGGCTATTATATGAAGTACGAGTACTTATTTTACTGTATTTGTATTGAAAATTATTTTTAAATACCTCAATCCTTATCCATCATAAAAAAAATTATAAAAGATTGTGCACACTGAACTATATCAGTATAGTTCTACTATTTTCAAATCATTAAATTTCTTATAAAAAATGATGAATTTCTAGATCCACAATTTACAAAATGCTAGTTATTAACAACATGAATACTCTACCCAATTAGATCTTAGTATGACCAACATCTGAATGTAAAATCTCTGATGCAAAGCGACAAAAAAGAACGTAGCGGGGAGATCAACAATTTATCGAAAACATACATATGCGAGAACGTGTGAAAAGGGAACGTAGAGCGAGAAGCTTTTATATTTTTATTTGTATTTGTTGAAATATATCGTTTGTAGCATTTAATAAATATTCTGTATACATTTGTATCACAGCCCGAAACATGTCCAATAAATTCGAGGCGTAAGTGAAATAAGCGTTCTCCTTATTTCGTCGTGCCTTTTTCTTTGGGCTAGATAGAGGTTAGATTTGTTTTAAATGGAAAACGAAACTGATCGACATACTTGCATCGTGTTACGCTTGACATGCAGTTACTTGAGCGATTTAACATGTTAGCTGGTAGTTTTCATAAGACATATTTTAAGAAATTTCACTTAACAAAGCATGTGCTGTGACCTGACGTTTGTCAGGAACCAAATATTTTTCGATGTGTATTCAAGTTTTAATTGTTATTTACTTTTTTTTTTGACGTTTCGAAACAATTGGCAGAACATGCAATTAATTTTTTCGTTCTGTGTGTAACTACGTGAAAATAGGACCGTATAAGTTTAATAAAAAATACGAAACAAATAAATTAATCTGTGAAATAGTAGTTTAAAAGTCATTCGTACGATTTTGCTCTGCTGTTGAAATAAAATAATATGTAAAATCGTAAGGGTGATTTGGCTTTAATTCTGACAGTGTATTTTAACCATATTTTGTAAGTAATAGTAGTACTTGCAGATTAAAAGGCAATGAAGATAGTGGAGATGACGAAACACAGTCAAAAGATAATCAAAAGGTTGAGAAAGATTCAGTAGTAAGTAAGAACTGTCACTTTTTCTTTCATTTCATTAGTAACATATCTACTAAATAGCACTTATTATAGCCTCGTATAGAAATTAATCCAAATGAGCACAAATTACAATATGCATATGCATTATGGTATAGTCGACGCAGTCCTGGTAAACAACCAAGCATACAAAGCTACGATCAAAATTTAAAATTGGTCGGTAGGTTTGCAAGTGTAGAGCAATTTTGGAGTCTTTATAGTCATTTGCTACGGCCATCAGAATTGACAACACATACAGACTTTCATCTTTTCAAAGTTGGCATAAAACCAATGTGGGAAGTACGTATTTTTTTACATGTACATTTTTCGATAGTTATTCTATTATTATTTTTTTTAGGATGAGGCAAATCAGAAAGGTGGTAAATGGATAGTACGATTACGAAAAGGTTTAGTGTCCAGATGTTGGGAAAATCTTATTTTAGCTATGTTAGGAGAGCAGTTTATGGTTGGAGAAGAAATATGTGGAGCTGTAGTATCTATAAGGTTTCAAGTAAGTTCATTTTTATGACCTTAAAGTAATTAAGTATGCACTGTTAAAATGAATAATTTTTACAGGAGGACATAATCTGTGTATGGAATAAAACTGCATCAGATTACGCGACAACAGCGCGTATTAGAGAGACATTGAGGAGAGTATTGAATCTTCCAGCTAGTGCCTCTATGGAGTACAAAACCCATAATGAAAGTTTAAAACATGTTCATCGGCTCTAAAAGCATGTGATGGTTACTCAAAAACTTGAGTTTTTCATGGTGGACTTTCAAGTAAGTTTGCAGTCCTTTGTGTATACTTGTTATTTTGAGATTTAATATCATGTGTATATTTTACTATTTAGCAAACCGATACTTGTGAGAAGATGATATTTCTTAGGAGAAAAATATTTTACAACTAAAGGATTTGAATGAACATCTTATTCGGTAATACATTTTATTCACAAGTGTCTTGTAACTTATGTAAATAATAAATACATGTTGATAATAAAAAAAATTCTTATTTCCAAAAGATACAAATTTATCACAACTTTTGGTAAAATTATAGTATATGTATAATATATATATCATTAAAATTAAAACATCATTTTGTTTTAAATATTTTTATTTAAGGGTACTTAAAACTCGAAATCCATTTTACACAATATATTTATACATTTGTACATGAGATCATATTTCTGTAGAATGCATAAGTAATTATAAGTGACATGTTTATGTATAATGCTTCTATACAGGAAGCATTTCAACTGAAACGAGATATTAATTTTTGTGTAAATATTCTGTATTTTTTGTATTTTAATTTGAAATATATAAAAAGACAATAGCTCCATCAGAATTTCATTGATATATGTATGTACAAATTTCTTTGATGAATACCCTAGGCAATAAAGCATAAACTTGGATAAGAATGTATAGCATTATATATATATATTAAAAGAATAAAAGATTTCACATGTTAATAAATATTACCATTATTCGCAACGTAACGTGATAGCTTATTGATTATAGACTAGAGTCAGGTATATCCAGTAATAAAAGAGAGACTCAATACCAAAAAACCTTAGATTAATTGTGCTTTTATCCCATGATTCTAACCATTGTATAAACTTTTTCTTATACATATAAAGCCAAAAATTATAATCTTAAAATAATAATCGTAACCATACCTGTAATCGATGAAAAGAATATGTTCATTTTATTTTGAATAAAAAAGAAATAAAGGATATACTTACCTAATACAAATGAAAGTATCAATTTAAAAAAGAAATAAAGGATATACTTACCTAATACAAATGAAAGTATCAATTTAAAGTTTGTGGAGAGATGAAGATAATCAGGCAGTTTATTATTCCGTTCTCCTTCTGTGGGTAGAAGTAATCCAGCTATACATATGATACCAGCAATTAATGCTACGTAATTTGTTCCTCCTATAAATATAATTTAAATACATTAAAACCAACTCCCCTTGAAAATATTTTAAATATAACGATTTTTATTTACTATCAATTGCTTTATTTTGAGCTATAAGTGCATAAGATTGTTGCTGTCTGTTTTCATTTATAGGAAGCTGTTGAAACATGTCTGGATCTGGGGTTGCTCTCCCAGCAGTATCTGTTGTCCCAGAAAGAAGTTTAGCTTCGACATCTCTTTTTCCTATAGCCTATTAATTTTCCAAAAGTCTTGAATTAGATTATTTTAGTGATACAACTGTACTTTTGTATTTTAATCCAATCACTGCACTGTTTAATTACCTGTTTGGTTGGATGCTCTTGCATCTGTATTCTAAATTTGTCAATGACATTGCAATTGCTTAACAAAAGGGATGTATGCCTCACAACAATATCAACACAAAATCTTGATTTTATTGTTCCTTCTGGATCAACAACTTTATACTTATTTGGTGCAGTACATAACACTAGGAGAATAATTAATTACATTAGAATTGTTTTTAGACCATTAGCTCTCATGACCTCTGCAAATATACCTTTAAATCTTACAGGAAAATCATATGGATTATACAAAGTCAAAACTTGTTTGTGAGTGGATTGATCATCTAAATAAAAAGTGATACTTTGAGGAAATACAAATACTGGTAATTTTCGAGGAGTAGCTGGTAACTGGGACTGCATTATATATCTTCAATTTTTGATGGTCCATACACCTGCAAAATTAGAGGATTCATTGTTACATATGTTAACATTTGGAAACTATTTATGGTTTCATATTATAATCCACATATTTGTTCTACAGTTATTAAATATTTACCAAAATATTCTTCCAAATATATATTTAAATAATTTGTTTAATCAAGTATCATAATCTAATCAATAATCAAAATGCGTTTGATTTTCCATCTTTTAGTAATTGCAACATCTGCAATTCATGAATCCTGACAGTCATAGTTGTTACTTAAGATATTATCTTACCTCAAACATGAAGTACCTCGTAGATTATGGAATTTACGAAGAAAATAATGTAGTAAAAGTTTCGGATGTTAAAATAATTGTTCAAAACGAATGATTATTTCCAAATTTTATAACTATTCTAACTTCCCAAGTCGTGCATAACAAACGTATAATCACTTTGTCGAATAATTTTGATACACGCAAGAAGTGTTTACTTAATTATATGATAGTTTTCGCGAGGTTTTATATTTACAAGTTTTTTAGCATCATAAAGCTTGATGGAATACTGCACTGTTGATATTCGTGATGTTCCTAACGAACAATTCTTCATAGTACTCAACACATATCCACACATGTCACTTCGCGTTTACCAACATTTACGTTTTGATTTTGTCCGTATATACGAACAAATCAGATGTATGCAATTTCTCTGTCTCTCCCTAGCATATCATGACGAATGAGCTATTTATTTCCTTTTAAAAAGCACTTCGTTACTCGTATGATATTTCATCCAAGTATCGTAATATTGTAAAAAATATGATACGTCCAATTAATTTAACAGTAAGAAAATTATTGGATACATTTATAATTTCATTGTTTTGATAATCTTGAATAATTTAGTGGATCTGTAAAAGCAGTTTACTATGAGTCACTTTTCCTATTGTACCTTTGCGATAAGATATAGTTCGAAATACATACGAAACTAATATTCATATTTCAATTGAGTAAAATTACCTAAAGATACATAAGCAAGGTGCATACGCAATTCAGACAAATTAATCGTGTGTTTAGGGAAAGAAGTGCATGTATATTTTTGTTGGCAACCGTATGTTCTTACATCTTAATAATATTCGCATGAATTCAACAATATGGCACCGGGTAATCATTTTCACGATTAACGATTCGATGACGTTGGTCGAATTGTTGGTAATAAATACGCATTAAGTCAAGAAACGTACATACATAATCTAACGTAAACGAAAATGATAGATGCATTGCATTTATTATAACAAATATATTCATTAAGTGAGTGAATCGTTTGGATATACATAACATTTCTAACCTCACTCTAAGCAATTCGATTTTGGCTTTTACCAGCATTTCTGTTTCCGGATATAACGGTAATAATTTATTGTTCGTGTAACTCTGTTTATTACTATACATTAAAATATCATTAAGGAATTTATAAAAAATAACCTTTTAACTCATATTATTGTACATCGTTCAATAAGAAGTACGATATTTTGTGAGATTTCTTTTACTATTGTGAATATTTGTAGGAATTTACAAAACATTTCATCATGGTTAATGTCAATCCACGAGTATTCTTTGATGTAGAGGTGGGAGGACTCCCAATGGGTCGCATAGTGTTTGAACTTTTTGCTGATATTTGCCCAATAACCTGTGAAAATTTTCGTTCTTTATGTACTGGAGAGCAAGGACTTGGGAAAACAACTGGCAAATCTTTGCATTATAAAGGAATTGTTTTTCATAGAGTAGTTAAAGATTTTATGATTCAGGGTGGTGATTTTTCAGTAGGAAATGGAACAGGGGGCGAGTCAATTTATGGAGGAACATTTGCAGGTAAACATACAGATATTTCTCATGTATTTAAGTATAGTGAGAAATATATACTATTTGAAATGATATTATTTTAGATGAAAATTTTATTATAAAACATAATAAACCATATTTACTATCAATGGCAAATCGTGGCAGAGACACAAATGGTTCACAGTTTTTCATGTGAGTATTTTCCAAAAAGTAGTTAACTAAACTTCTATAAAAATGTATTCTGTATAAAGCAAAAAATGCAGGATGGTGTGATAAGATTACAGTATTTGTAATTCCCAAATTGTTAATGTTTGTTTTGCATGTTATTATTAACAATAACCATCTGCTTACTAAAGGTTAATATTTATAATTACAAGTGAAATATTCTGTACATAAATTTTATTTTTCAATGTTTTTACTGGCTGAACATTATATTTCTCTGCTGGCAGATGTATTCCTTGTTATCTACATAGATAAAGGTAATAGGAATTTAATACAATTTTATTCTTACATTTTAACAGCCTTCCAGGTTAGTATATTAAAAGTGCTACGAACAAATCACGGGCAGTAATTAAATCGAGTAAAAGGAAAGTTGGGTGTGTTGATTTAAATAGTACATTTGTTTGTTCTCTTTTGATTATTGACATCACTGTTTTGTGTAAAGTCATTCACTATTGAATAGTTTGTACGGGTCATGTAAAACGTCTGGAGAATATTAAAAAGCATAGAAGTAAAAGTATCTTCGAAGGAATAAATAACTTAGCTATATTTCTGTGTAGTCATGAGGGAAGGGTCTGCACACCACTACTACAACACAATGACCAATGAAAGCTGGCTCTTTCTGTTCATCTCTCATCCCCTTAATCATATTTTGTTGTTGTAGTACAACACAACCAGCGCCTCATCTCGACAAGTAAGTAGTAAATAATGCGTTCAATTGTTATAATTATTTTATACCTAATTTATAGAATTTTATACCTAACTGTAACAACTTTTTAGTGTCCATGTGGTTTTTGGAGAAGTAGTGTCTGGCCAGGAAATTGTTACACATATTGAGGGACTTCCAGTAGATCGTATGTCCCGTCCGTTACAAGATGCTAAGGTTGTAAATTGTGGAGAACTTGTATTGAAGGTCAAAAGTAAAGGTACATTTAATATTTCATACAAACTATTAACCGTTTCTAAACAAAATTCATTAACATTTTAATCCTCAATTTATTATGATTTATAGTAAAGAAACGCGAAACGAAAGATAGTAGTTCTTCCGATTCCGATTCTGATTCGTATGCAGGAAAATCTAAAAAGAAAAAGAAGGTCAAAAAAAGGTATAACACATTCCATAATTTATTTTGTTGTTACGAACCTAAATGACAATGAATACTACTGTTCCAGTAAAAAACGAGCAAAATCAGAAGACGGCGAAATTCATGACTCAAACGAAGACGATCTTGGGAAACCTCATCCGCTTGTTTCAGTTACAAAAATCGATCCGGATGAAATTCCGGAAGTACCAGCAAATAAATTTTTATATAGAGCAGGGCCTACTAATAATGCAAACCAAAAAGAATTTAGGCAACATTACGGAAGGGACCGGGTACGATCAAATAGAAAGACTGGTCGTGTATTTAAAGGAAGAGGAATATTTGTAAGTATTTGTGTACAATATATGGTACACGGTATGTATACACTTTTTGAGTATATTTCACTTTACGTATTCCAAGTATAATGCGTTTTATTTTTAACACATAATTACTTCTTCTATACAAACATAAGTAATTACACGTAAATGAATTTCCAGCGTTATCATACACCTTCGCGTAGCCGTTCCAGAAGCGTAACACCACCTCATTGGAAGCAAGCTCAAAATCGAACTATTAAATTGCACGAATTTCAGGTACATAGACACGTCTTCAAATGGATATAATATTGTTCGTGTAATTAATTTCTTTGTGTGTTTAAAATTGTGTCACAGAAATTAGAAAAGGAACGTTTAAAGAAAGAAGAAGAATTAAAGAAACGCGAGGCTGATAGGATTAAAAAGTTTACTGAGAATCCGGATGAAGATAATCCAATAATGGATAAATTCGATACCGATACACGTGTATCGGAAGAACTGGAAAATAAAGAAAACGATCAGTCTGATGATAAGAAGGATGAGAATAAAAATGTGGAACCGGACCAAGATAATTTGAATACTAGTTCAGATATAAATGATGCTATGTCAAAGGACAAAGTAGATGGAAAACATAAAATTGAAAAAACAATAAAACGTGATTCACATCGATCGTACGGTGATAGATCGTCGCGACGCGACTCCCGAGATAGGAGTAGAAGACGTGGAAGTGGTCGTTCGAGATCGCGGGACCGTAGAAGATCTCGAGACAGGGATTACGATCGTAGGAATACTAGTCGTGATAGAAGAAATAGAAGGAACTATTATCCACGCAGGAGAGACTCATATAGAATGATGAGACCCGGCAGGGATAATTACAGATATTATGACAGGCGTAATGATTATAGAAGAGCGAACAATTCTAATTCCAATTACGACGCAGACAAAAATCGAAGAAAGAGTGATAATGCATCTGACTCTAACAATCAACCCAAGTTCAAGCGCCGCTCACGATCATCTAGCTCTAGTAGTCAACACTCCAAAGACTAAGTATTTTGTTCCCTATTATTTGTCTGCATAACACTGGAAAATATAATTCATGTAGCAAGATACGTTTATTACATTACATTTGTACATTTTTTATCTGAATTTGTTTAATCCCGGTATATTTTCATTTGTATACAAGGGAATCATAACCTCATATTTATCGCGCATTAAATAATATTAATACGGATGTTCAAGTACATAATTCTCTGAATGTTATGCAGAACTTTTAAACATAAAGTCCAAAGTGTTTGAATGAACAGTAAATGTGTCTTTTAACTGTATAGCATGATACTGTAAATTAAAAATACTTTGACAGTAAGTTATAAATATATGAGTTACATTTCAAAATTTCCTGTACGAGTGATTACCTTAAACACGTTCAACCTCTGTAAACAAATTTATGAAAAATTGAAAAACGCGAAGAAGAATATGTTTTATTGTAATTATACAATTATACTCTTGTAAAATTCATGTAAAGTGGTAAATCGTACCTAAGTATCCAATAGAGCTGTATCCAGTAGAGCAATAGCTCTACTAATCATTTTTATTAACGTGTTATGTAATCGTTATTCAAAATAAAACACGCACCATAATGAACATTCATAAAATTATTATACCGGTAATATGAATTAATGTTTCTAACAGTTTCATATATAGAAACAAGTTTGATCGATGTTTTGCATTATTACTTTATTAAAATATTCGCCATTTGAGTACTGGTATTATTACTAGTGGCGCCATCGGTGGGAAAACGTCCAAGTTTGTAATAAAGTTAGTTTGTATTCTTGACGCTAGATGCCGACTGTAGTGAAAGTAAAAATAACGCCAATCTAGCAATAGAAATAAGAACTATTCGAGGACAAACTTAAGCGTTTTCCCGATAGAGGCGCTGAACGAACTTCGAAAATTAGTTCGGTCTCTCCAATACTAGATGGCGACGACAATGATGGTTTGTGGAGTCATCTTACAGAAACAGTGGGAACCATTTTCACTACAAACTTGGGCGTTTTCCCAACGATGGCGCCACTTGTTGCACTTAGCCGCTCACTGAGCGGCTCAGTGAGCGGTAATAACAGTACATATAGCCATACTGCCTATGATACTCCATTTTGATTGGCTTTCAAAAATTGTTTACGTTACGAATTGTGAGTTCAAAAGTGATGTGACTGACAGCGTGTAATTACACTATTCTATCGTTAAACTTTTCGCAAATCTGTCACGATGGTGCGTTATGCTGCGTTGAAAGGTTTGTACGATTTAGAGAAGACTATTGGAAGTGGCGGTTTCGCGAAAGTTAAACTGGCGACGCATGTCGCAACCGGCGAAAAAGTTGCTGTTAAAATAATGGACAAAACGGCACTAGGCGTAAGTAGCTTTTAAAATTCAATAAATTCGCAAAGCGCCACTGCAAGAAACCTTTTTAATTCTCAGGATGATTTGCCTAGAGTAAAACTCGAAGTTGAGGCATTGAAAACCTTGTTACATCAACATGTTTGTAGATTGTATCAAGTGATAGAAACAGAGAGCCATTATTTTATGGTAATGGAGTACTGTTCAGGTGGAGAATTATTTGATCATATAGGTACTAAACATTATAGTTAGATACGCTATATTTGATATGCTTTCTTCGTTGTCCAAAAATTAAGGGAGTGCAGTAAGATTGTATTTTTGTTTTTACTTATAGTTGAAAAAAATAGACTCTCAGAAACAGAGTCACGAAAGTTCTTTCGTCAAATTGTCTCTGCAGTAGCATATTTACATAGTTTAGGATATGCTCATCGTGATTTAAAACCAGTAAGTTATATTTCTTTTGTGCCTGATTATTTGTGCACATACCAAGCATTTTTTTTTTATACTTAGGAGAATGTTCTGTTAGACAAAGAAGAAAACTTAAAACTTATAGACTTTGGTTTGTGCGCGAAACCAAAGAATGGAATAGAATCACATTTACAAACATCGTGTGGTTCTCCAACATATGCTGCTCCAGAACTCATACTAGGAAAAAAATACTTAGGTATGAATATGTTAGTAAGATTCAGATGTTATTCTTAGGTTTAAAATGAATTCATTGTATTTATTATATAGGTTCTGAAGTAGATATTTGGAGTATGGGGGTTCTTCTTTATGCATTACTTTGTGGTTTCCTTCCCTTTGACGACAATAGTATAGAGAATTTGTACAGAAAGATTCTTGTAAGTCTTTTGGTTGTGTGTGGTTTCATTGGAAAAAATGATTAATAATAGTATGATTTTAGAGTGGGAAATATGATGAACCATGTTGGTTGTCAAGTAGCAGTAAGAGAATGATACGAGCAATGTTACAAGTAGATCCAGAAAAAAGAATTACTATACAAGAATTATGTAATCATCCATGGATTACAGCAGGTTTCCTCAATCCTGTTTCATTTGTTCATAAAACCAATGTAAATGAATAGATAATTTTTAAATTTATGTTAATAAATATACGTATATTTTAATAAAGATAATGAGTTTGCAGTTTGAAAAAGACGATGATGTGTTAAGTACAATGTCCGCGATATGCGGCGAACAAGCTTCCGAGATATGGAAGAAACTCGTAAAAAGCGATCGAACTGATTATAAAACTGCGACGTATCTCTTACTCTTAGACAGAAAACTTCGTGGACTTTCACTACGAATATCATCTTCTGCAAAGACTCACTTTAAGCAAGGGGTAGGGTACATTGTCTATTAAGCATATTCTAAGAAATAATTCGATGTTACTTTGTATCACACGTATTACTTACAGTGTGAAGAAGGAACGAATAATCTTATTACTCAACTTGATTATTCTCCAAGAAGTAAACCGAAAGAATCGCCGGTATTACAAACCACTTATAAGGTTTTGCCAAAAACACCTGAAACGGGTAAATTATTGTCATTATTGCGCGTATCACAGGTAAATACATCGAATGCTTATGGGTTTCCTGTTTGTTCTTATACAGCCAATGATTTCACGGAACCGCATATACCTGGGAGAAAACGACTTCGAAGTAAAGAACCAGATGATATATATTCTCCTGGTATGATATATGTTTCACTTGTTTTTACCCTAATCTCTCAATAATTTCTATTAACAAAACGTAATATTATCGGTACATTTAAAAAATATATTCTGTGCTAAATAAAATTTGTTAGATGTATATGTGTTCTATTACAGCCATGGTACTCAATTTTATAATATATTTTCTAAAGTTTATTTCTAATTAGGTGATAGTAGCCACCTAATTAGAAACTTTAATGAAAGTTTCCAAGTACCATTAATTACAGTAGTTGTGTGAAAAGGAGATAATTAGTTAGGAGAAGAGCAACGACTTGTGAACAAATACAATTTGGAGCTACAAATAGTTGTTCGTAAGAATACCTTATCCCAACTCCCTTTTACGAGGTACAATAGCCATTCCTTACCTCCATTTTTATAGTTCCTTTCAACTTTTATTTATTTATGTTTTTTTTTCTGTATAATGTTAACGTCACGTTATCTACATAATTGATAATAATAATAATAATAATAATAATAATAATAATAATAATAAAAAAAATGATTTACAGTTCCTGTGAAAAGGACAGCAGAAAAAGATCGAATCGTTTCTACTCCGACGAATACTCCGGTATCGGAATCAAAGTTAGTTTGTATAAGAATAATAACGAGACTAAAATAATATCGGAATGTTAGGTTGTAGCGTATTACAGAGAAAAAAACTTTTTAGAGGATCACAGTCGTCCACACCGGGAAGTGCAAGAAAAGTAATAATGGGTTTGGAACGTGGGTTGAATCGCGTACGTTGCGTCCTTACGCCGAAGAGGCGGGCAAAGAATGAAAATATCGATCCTGATCAACCTAATATACTTTCTGGCAAGGGTCTTTGCAATGTGTCATCAACGTCCAGTGACGATCCGAGATACGTACTTGCCCAATTACGTCGAGCGCTCCGTCGCAAAGGAATCATGTGCCATCAGAAGGGGTAACGGTTACAAATATTTGACGATCGATTAAACGAGTGTAAATTATTTTTATAATTACAATCATTCTTTAGATTTATCCTTCAAGGAGAAACAGAAGATTGTACAGAAGACGAAAAAGATACAGTACGGCCATTTTCTAACAGGAACTTCTGTTCTTTCGAGTTAGAAGTTTGTTTATTAGAGGGTGTTTCGAATAATAAATTATTAGTGGGCATTCGACGGAAAAGATTAAAAGGTGACGCATGGGTTTATAAGCGGGTGTGCGAAGAAGTTCTAGCTCTGGCAGCTGAAGATCTCTCCGCGGAATCGGAAGGTTCAACAGAGTCGAAGTGCCCGATTTGAAGACGTCCTACTATTTTTGTACGAACTTTACTAGCATATATTTTAGTCTATATATTACGATAAGTCCAGAAGACTACTACTCTAGTAATTCTCTAATAATCCTTGACCGCTGAGCGCAAAGTTTGAGCAAGTATCATTCCAGAAGAGATACTACAGTAACAGAAATCCTATCTTCTTCCTCTGGTCTTCGAGGACTTAAAGTAAACCCGCAATTCTGGTGAAGAGTATAATCGTTGATTGTGTAATATTATTTATACAGTATAAGAGAATTACAAATAAATTATGTATATCGTTTCCATGCCAAGTCCAGTATATAGTCTTATGGCAATAAAATAAAAATATTTTCTAAGTGCATGCGATGTATTATGTTTATAGAAGCAATAAGGCAATAAAAAAGTAAAAAACGGCATATATTTTCCCAAATAAAATGATCGATGTTCGTTTTTATTAGCAAAGAAGAATCGTTCGAAACCAACCGACGACGAAAGTCGTTTCAAGCAACGCGATCGCCAATTATGGCGCGAAAGGAACTTTTCGAAAGAAAGCTGCGAGCGTAGGACGCTTTCTGTCGGAATATGTAAAGGTAGGTCCATTTCGCGTTTGCACCGCAGATATAAAATATCGCGGCCCGTTTGAACCGCAGCATCTTCACGAGAACAACTATGGACAGGCAAAGTTATAAAATCACCACAAATCGATCAGCATAAAGCGGAGCCGCGTGCACCTTACTTTATGGGAGCCAAACCGACCTTTTATCTCTGCCCGCTCAATAATCGTCGGCCCTTGTTCGTAGGTATTCTTGGTGAGTCTATTCTGGCAGAGTTCGATCGGACTGGTCTTTTTTCCTGAACATCGATCGAAACAAAGCGAGATCCGTAGAAAATCGAGGCGTTCCACTAAAAGGCATAAAGGTGAAAATAAAGACATTAAGATCTCTCGCTTAACATTAAACGTTTCAGATTGTACACGGCCGAAGAGTTGTAAACTTATACCCCATACCGTGATATATTTTTGCGAATCGACAATAACATAGATCACCTAAAAATGTTAGCAATTTTCTCTTCGATAAAAGAAAAGTACTCGCTTGGAATCGCGTATTATACTGTGAATACTCCACGAAGGAATATTTAATTTGTTCGCGTCTAATCGAACCACTGCACGATCATTAACTTAATCTGGCTAATCAATTTTTCACGCGCGAGGAGGAAGTCGAGGCTGAAGAAAAAGCCGCGCGGACTAGCCCTTGGCTAGCATCCCGAGGCACGGTGAATAATATCGCGGTA